ACTCTTCTCCTTTTTCACAATAGGTACGCATAAAAGGTCTACGTTTCCGTTCTCTTGCGGGCGTCGGCCGCATACCTGCAGTGGTATAGCGTGGTGTGGTTAGGGTCCCCAGTCCCCACATTATGTTCCATAAGTCTTGAGTTCGAATCTCTGGGGATCTAGTGAGAGGCAAAAGGTACGCCTTTCTCCCACGTGAAACCACATTTTTTTTGGAATTCACGCGGAAATAGTGTACGACGTAAGCTGGGTCCCAAATCCCAATTAAAAGCCATGTTGGCTTATTTGCATGCGTCCACTGGGAAAGCCCGTGTGGGACCCATTAGGTAGGTATATATCCCAGCTGGGATATGGGAACATAGGAATATGGGCCCCACGGGGGCTGCCTATGTGGGTTCCAACTGGGAAAGCCCATATGGGGCTCAATACGGGTCCCAGCTGGGTCCAACATGGCCCCGTCTGGGGTGCCCCGATGGGACCCAGTTGGAGACACGCCCATCTGGGTCCGTGGTGGGTAGCCCAGATGGGTTCCAGTTTGGTGCCCACACATGGGCCCCACTTTGGAAGGCTGGCTGGGATGTGGCAGCATAGAACCGTAACCCCCTGGGCGCGGGGAGGTACTTAAATAATTTTACGGTTTGATAGTGAGTAGTCTTCGAAAGACGTTCCAACATTGAGTCATTTCCCAGCACTGTCGCCTCAGTCTATAGCGCTCTCAGACGCCAACCTGTGTACGTGTAGCTGCTTTCAATGTCAGGGTCATTGTGCCACCCGGTGAACCTTCCCTCCGACGCTGCTCGCTTTTGCTTCACATGGGTCAGAGATGACAACACACACGTACAGCCCTCTGCAAACTGCGTGGTAGGTATTCTTTTTTGGACAAAACCGAGAATAACGTGAATACTATGCTATCGGTCACTCAGAAATCGTAACAGCAAGACCCGCGAGACTCCGCACCCTAGATTGGCGTTATCATCGTATTCATTTTCCATCCAGTTTGGCAACAAAACCGAAAAGTGTATATTTGCCCCCAAAACAAACTTTTGCATTTTGTTGCCACACAAGGCGTATACTTTGTTTAGTGGTAGACCCAATAAAAGGAGTGGAGTATGGCGCATCTATTTGCAGTGAGTTTCGACCGACTGATAACATAGCGTTTGAGTTATTACCAGTTTTGCCGAAAAAAAGAATACCTACCACGCAGTCTGCTGAGGGCTGTACTTTGGATGATTCATTTCCCGACGCAGGACAACACATTGTTGTCTACCGCTAGCATCATATGACGATTTCTGAAGGCTGCTTGTCAGCTGAAGTGGAGCTGAAAAAAGGCGACAGAGAGAGTAATGTCATTCATGGAGAAGATTCATTGCTGAATGCGTTGAACGCGTGCAGAACTAAATAGATAAATACACGGTTAAAACCTGGTGCTAGCCGGTTTTTCCGCCAACCTGCGACTCTGGGCGCCCTCGAAGCCGGTCCCGTGGGTCCCCTGGTCGCGTGATAGCGCGACCCCAGCCGACCGGGCTCGCCTGGTCACACGAATCGCTCAGCCAATCAAAAGCCAGGGCCAAGGCCGCCCGGCCGGCGTGGGACTGGGCGGCGCGCGCGCGCGGGACACTTCGTCGGCGAACAGCAACAACAGTGCGGAACTAAATTGATAAAAGTATATTTTGCCGACGCCGAATCTCCCTCAATAGCCAGATGACAGAGGCATTTCATGCGTGGCATGCAGCTATCGAGGCTTAGTGCACCCCGAGTGTAGGTCTGAGCCAACCTTGCATGGTGGGAGCCTTTTTGTTCCCACCCAGTCATTTAACCCGCGACCGCCTGGGGGGGGGGGATCGGATCGAACCCCCCCTTTTCTTGCATTTTTCATGAACCGCTTACGCTATCAACTTGAAATTTGGCATACCTTCTCCCCTATCAATTTGACGTCTCATGTGTAATTTTTAAGATTTTTTCATTTTTTTTTTTTAGATACGAGTATATCGATTTTAGTGATGTAATTACATGGCGTTTTCAGTCAAAAAGTGGTAAATGTTTTTAAAAAATCGCCAAAAATCAAGATTTAAAGCAAATTGCAAATTTAGGACATGGATAGACGCAGCTCAACGAGTTCTTTGAAATGGCTATCTCGGATTTTCCATAAAATGCGTTTTTCACCCCTAAAAATTCAAAACTATACTTTTTTGAAAACAGCTTATAAAATCCAAAATTTTGAGAATTTCCAAAAAACGGAATATATGTTATAGAGCTCTATTAGAACATTAGATGTCCTCCCCCCTACAAAAACATACGTCCACTACATATGTACACAACTGCTTTCACACCCAGAAGCACGATCACGCTTCCACTGTGACTCCGTTCTCATGCCGAGGCGTCCGAAAGAGTGCAGTCCGCCGTGGCGTTCAGGCAGTCCGCCGTGGCGCTCAGTCCGACGCGGGATCTGTCAAACAGACAAACAGAGATCTGCATTCTGCAGTACACATCGCTCACCGGAACACGCGGCTCAAACGCTCACAGACCCTCATATACCCCTCCCTGTTCAAATGGACTCCCTGTCTATCGCGGAAGAAACGGGCGCGGTGCTCGACACCACCATGTGGCGTTTACTACCGTTAACTCTCTTGGTGGTTGTCAAGGGGCTCGTCCAAGGTACGGGATAAAATCTATCCCTGCCTCCTCTGCTACTTCCCGGAGTGTAGTTTGTCAGCTTTGAAGGCTGGCGTGTTCTCCCACTGCTGATTTTCGTCACAGAAAAGTCTGATTGTTGGATCCGCCATCGTGACCTTACCCCATTCACTCAGAACACGCAGGACTCCCGCTACCCGGTGAGGTTGGAGCTGCTGTGGCTTTTGCCCCGGCCTCCCAATAGGTATCATTGCCCCCAGCCAGATAAATATGTTACCGAGACTAGCTTCTCTTTGTTTAGCCGCTATCGTCCATGGATATCGTCCATATCGTCCATCCCAAATTTAAACTTTCTTTCTTGATTTTTGACCTCCAAATTGTAAAAAATAGCTCCAACATGCATAGGGCATGGTGAGGTCATACACATTTTCGTGAATTAGAGGCACTTCTGAACATCGCATGTAAAAACAAATGGCACCACTAGTATACTGGGACAAAGCTCGTCTAAAAAAGTGCATTTTTATTTCAAAAATAAAAAGTTGAAATATTGACTTTTTTCTTAGCCCTCGTTTAGTTATGTATGGTGTAAACGATTTTTTTATGCTTTCAATGCACACTTATCACCAGTTCAGTGACTTGGAGTCACATATAACCATTACCATCGGATTCGGCGTGAAAAATAAGCCATAAAACACGTGTCGCTCGCCCATGTAGCAGAAAGGGAAAATCGTGACCTTTCGTGGCCTGACCTGACCTTGACCGGTACTTAGTATGACCCCTATACGCACATGGTACCTTCACTAGGTCTTTGAGGTCATTTTTGGTGAGTTTCGAGCAGCAGCTATCGATTCCGCTGTCCGTAAGCCTAATCAGTCAAAACCCCAGAATTTGACCTTTGACCTGATCTTGACCCGAAAGTTGACCTCAATCTTAAAATCTTAAGAGTGCTTTGGGAAGGTCCCGTAGAGACCTTTCGAACGCCGCCTGGCGGGGCTCGATACGATCATTGGTTCTCGAGATAACAGGGGGGGGTCGAATCCGACCCCCCCCCCCCCCCCCACCACCAGGCTGTCGTGGGTACGGAAATAGCCCAGGCGGTGCCGGGTTTAGAATTATGTAAAGAAAGGCAGAAATACACTTAAAAAGTACCTGATAGCCCTCAATAAGTAACGTCAAAAGTATAGGATCATTTTCGCTCTGGTCAAGGCTTGGGTCACTGGAGGCCACCAAAGGTAAAATGCTCCCAACTTGACAATTTTCCCAAACAGGCGCATAACTCCGGAACTGACGCTATAAAACTCATTAGGTAGCTCTGTTCAGCTTTTTCGCTAACATATCCTCAGCTTTGTCCTCAGGTCAATGGCTTGTCCCTAGATGACAGAAACCGTTAAATATTTAGGCATGATTTTTGTGGAAACACCTTTCTGCAACAATAACCTAAGACTCAATCATGTATGGCATGCTGGACCACCATCGTTTTTGCGTCGTCGAGACGCGTCGAGTGAACAAAAATTTGACCTCGAAAGGTCGGCCTGACAAGTTGTTCTTGGATCAAAGTCATGCCATGCAATTCACGTTTGTTTGAGTTTCGAGCTTCTAGGGAATTTACTGTTGTACAAATATGCAAATAATCGCATATTTTTTTGGAAACATGTTCACTTTATTTGACCTGGAGACCTGCGGCTGAAATTTGAATTCATGATGCAAAATTATTGTGTTTTAAACTACGTCAGTTTTGGTGGCCCTCATATGTTACGTGATTTTCTCTACAAACGAAAAAAGGAGAGTTAGACCACCATCGTTTTTGCGTCGTCGAGACGCGTCGAGTGAACTGAAATTTGACCTTGAAAGGTCAGCCTTACCAACAAAATCGAACCTAACTGCAGGTTTGCATCGCCGATGACATGTCGGTATCGGTTAGGTTGCTTTTGGTCAGGGAATATTTGACCATCCGATGTTTTCTGCCAGGTGTTTTAAGGCGCCGCTCTCACAATATTTTTACTTTCAGCCGCATGTGTCTCTCAAATCCGCAATAAAACTGAAAACCGTCTCCGCGGATGTGTTGCCAAATGCTGGTCATCTGCAGACCATTGTGATCTGTAGCTCATCTGTAATTCCCATATCCGTCTGCAAGAGTTGAGAGAAGTACCAGTGATGGTGCTTTTCATTGAAGTTAGTTCGAACTAAGCATTGTTAGTTTTGCGGCTACTCTAGCTTTCATTTGAGAGTCTGTCAAGGAAATATGTGGAGCAATGCTGGCTACTTTTGGGTGCGCGCTTGAGTACAGTAGTAGCGTTAAACGCATGTGGCTTTGGCACAGCCATGTGATTTCAACATTACCCTCATCCGACGAGCAGACTGAAAGACTGGCGTAAAGTGCATGGTTGTATTGACATGGCTCAGTATGAGGGCACCCATTCCCTCCCCCGCGCACAGCGAGGGCCCCGGAGCGCTGTGGCACGCAGCACAAAGTGGCCGCACGGTTCACAGTTTACACACACGCACGACACAGATGCGGCGCTGTTCACAAGGCGCCAGTGGCAAACGCTGCCCGACCCACGCTCTGTTCACCCCCTAACCCTTATTCACCCCTTTGAGATCATGCCGTTCCGGACGCTGGCGTGCAGTCCCCCCCCCCATCGGCAGCACGGCAGCGCGCACTACATGGCTCGCGTGGACCCTGTCTCTCCATCGGTGCAAAGTTTGTGTGCGAGTCACTGACATTTGCTGGGTGCTATGCGTTTCAGGGACATTCCCACTTGTTTCACCAAATTTGAAAGGCAATTGAGTTATAATAGTATTTCATTTCAGGAGATAGATGTTTCACAAAGAACTGAATTTCTGTTTCATTTTCAATTTACCTTGCATGTTCCGTACGAAATAAACACATTGGAGCGGGATTGCGCATGTACAAGTAAAGATGGCATCTTGAAAACGATTTTGGAGAAAGTGAAATTGGTTACATCGTATTCTTGTCAATTTCGAAATGAGTAGTGGTGGGGATGTCCCTTTCAACAAAGGGACGTGCACGTTGCAGCATCACACACTCATGTTCACGCTCGTTAGCCAGTCAGCACGTTATTGCTTCGGTCGTGCAGCGACAAAGAAGCACTCTAGAAGCCACAATAATCACAGGGGCGCTCGGTGGCGGACAACGACGGCGACACAACAGTACAAACGGCCAGCACTCGACCCGACGGCACGAGCGCTCCTCAAAGGCTGACCACAGACACGACAGACACCGGTCACGGCACGACACTGACAACCGGGCGCGGCGCGACGCGGTACGCGGCCGGACAGACTCCCCACCAGCACACCTGATATGCATAGCAGTCGCCGGCGGCAGACGGACCCGGCAGCAGAACACAGAGGCGGTACCCGGGGCGGAAATAGCGACACAGTCGAGCTGGCCAAGCTTCACGTCCGACAGGCATCGCAAGCTTCAGGAGCCAGGCTCAGAGCTTCCCTGATTGACTGGAATGCATGCTGCAGCGCGGAGACGGGCGACGGGACGAGGCAAAGCGGGGCGTTGAGAGGGCGTTTGATGTTCAAGTGAGAGTGAGGGATGGATGGATACGTTAGTGTGTCTGTGAAAGCTGAAGTGTAAAGTTATTCGGAGCTTTGTTCCGTCATGTGTGCCGTAAATTTCAATTTTGTCGACGGCCGAAATTGCAGTCCTTCGGTGGTCGCTGCAATAGCGCTCAGCATATGAAATATTATCCATCATATTTACAAACTCCTAGGAATGATTGGCACAGGGTGCTGGATAATAAATAGTTATTGCTTTCCACGATCTTTTAACTGCGCCGCAATGATCCAATGGGATAATCTGACCGCAGTAACGTTATATAAACTGAAGGGTTACATAACGTAGTAGCAAAATAGCACTTTGACATTTTTTCTGTCCAAAACTCAAACTGACCACAAGCTTGTGACAAAATGTAAATCCTCACAGTGGCCTGGGCTGAATGCAGCTCGAGTTTGTCGTACAGCGATCTTAGACGCCTGTTTCAGTTCCCTCTGTGGGCCTGTGTAGTGTGTTGTTGACTGAGTGGTCCCCATCGGTCCCAGGTGGCTCCACCGTCGATCAGTCCGCACCGTCCAGGGGTCGGGACTAGTCGGGCGTCAGGTCCGGCGCGCAGTGACGCACGTTGAAGGCACTTCGCTTCAGCTCGCGAACAACAAACTCGATGTCGGGTTTGTTCTTGTTGGCGTATGCTTCTGCAATCAGCTGGGCCGCTCGCTGGTGGTTCACTCCTGAAAGGAAAACATGTCTGAACTCTGAGATCAGTGCATTGGCTGAATTGAGTCAGGAACGTGTGCAAATATCGAGGAATGTTGTAAAGCCCATCACTTGGGACAAGACAATAGGCCAGGTATTCAATAATGAACGCCTAAATGTGTGTAATTATGTGACACTTTTTTCGATCAGACTGGCCAGACCTGCGGGAACCCGTCAGACTTACCGACTAACCTCCGTCCGTCCACCGACTTGATGACCTGGCCCACCATCAGACCGCCGGCACTGAACGCTGAGCCGTACGGCTGAAATGGAAAATAACACACCATCAGACCGCCGGCACTGAACGCTGAGCCGTACGGCTGAAATGTTAAACAACAATTACCTATTGCCCAGCAGTATAAAGGGGCATCACAGCCAATGCTCACTCATGTAGTTCATGCACTTAAACGCCCACCAGAAACCAGTTTGAAGCAGGCGCGGATACAAGGGGGGGGCCATGGGGGCCATGCCCCCCCCTTGGCCGATTTTTTTCAAAAATAAAATAAAAAGTTAAAAAGCTGAAAAGGGGGCCTACTGAAAATAAAGTGGCTATTCATGTTGAGATGTTGCCTGAACAGCTAGATAAGCTCAATAGACGCAGTTTTTTTTGGGGGGGGGGGGCCAACAAGTGGGAAGATGGGGCCTCCAACAGGTGGGATTATGGGGGCCTCCTGGTTTCTAATGGCCCCTCCCTTGGAGATTTTCTGGATCCGCCCCTGGTTTGAAGACAGCTGAATAACTACGCGCAACAGCTACAAAATCTCACTTTGTCGGTTAGGGGAGAGTGGGGTAATTTGGCCGGTGGTGTAAATTGGCCGCCCCCACCTGTACGATGTCTAATAAAAGTGAGTGAAATAGCTCTAGTCTCTACTCATTTGTCATGGGTAGAAATAACTGGAGGACAAATGTCAAAACTTTGCCCCTCGTAGTTTTATTTAAAATTAATAAAACGTTAATTTCATTAGAAAATGGTAACTTTTACTTCTGTTTACAAAGTTGTATAACATGTAGTATTTGGGCTAAAAACGAATTCAGACATTATAGCGCCATTCTTGGGGGTGTTCAGCGGTTCCAAGAGCAATTTCATCTAATTCCGTATAGCCGTGATGACTTTATACACAAAAATTTTCAGAATGGCAATATGGGGTAATTTGGCCGGGACTAGCGGGGCAACTTGGCCGGTGCGCTCATGGTCACTATGCTGGGACGGCCGAGTTTTCATGGTCAGTTGTACCATAAATGACATAATTCATGACCAACTTTGACTACTTTGATGCCTTACTTCCGATTGGTCAACTGTAAGAGCATGTGACGTCATCAAAGGTTATCAAACGTTTTTTGCTAATAAATCCTTACATAAAAATGGTACAGCCGCACAAATGGTCTCATTCTGTTCAGCTCGCCAAGGCGCATCGAATGATATGCATGATGACCTTGAAATCACGTGACCTTGAGGTCAAGCGACCTGAGGTAACGTGACCTGAGGTCAACCTTTGACCTTGACTTCTCGAGGTCACCACATATATGTTTGGATGCGGACTGACGAGAGAATTACGATGGTACTCCGAAGTTTTGGCCTAGCTTGATTACTTCAAAAGTTATTCGTAAAAAACTGTATTCGCATCTAGAGCCGCTAATTTGGCTATTTTGACCCCTGTGGCCCCTGAGTCAACCTCCAAAATGCGGCAAATGCGTCATAGGACACACGTCATTGCTGAATCTGAAGCTGACTCGCAATATAACAGAAAATCCTGACCGCAAACTAACACCGGCCAAATTGCCCCACACCCCCGGCCAAATAACCCTGCTAGTGGGGCAATTTGGCCGCCTTGCAGACCTTTGTAATACGTCACAATTTCAATATAAGTAATTACTCTATCATTTCAAGTTCACTGTCCAGTAGGAAGTAAAATGAATGCGACACCTGCCAGCGTTGAGAAAATGCAGAAATGTGTCGTCAATTTTAAGTTACATCGTTTTCTAAAAAAAGCGGCCAAATTACCCCACTCTCCCCTATTTGTCTGGTATACGTGGACGAATTTTTTATTACAATGGTCATTACCGACCGGTTACGATTACTATTTACAAATAAATAGGCACAATTGTTGGCCAGCCTGGCCATCGCGACACCTACGCTACGTTACCATTTCGGCCTACGCACCAAGGTGCCACGCATGGCTCGTAACGCCGGAGACTGCGTCATGGTGTTAGAAGTAGACTGTACCGCATGGCAGGACGGTACTGCGGCGCAGCCTACCCAGACACCGCCTTTCCGGAAGGCTCATAAGGACAGCGATGCTTTACATTGGTAGAACCAGTGGCGCAGCCAGGGGGGGGGGGGGTCAGAGGGTCAGCTGACCCCCCCGAAATTTCTGTCAGGGGCCCGCTCGAGAGAGAGAGTGAGAGAGAGAGAGAGAGAGAGAGAGAGAGAGAGAGAGAGAGAGAGAGAGAGAGAGAGAGAGAGGAGAGAGAGAGGTCCTAATCTAATCGGACGAGCCCGCTTCGAGAAATGCCCACTGCGACACCTCGGGTGAGGGGTCGGCCTGGGGCCCCAGGTGGACAGGGCCCGGGCCCCCAGGAGAACGGGCCCGGCCCCCTGGGTGGATGGGACCCGGGCCCCCTGTAGATGGGTCCGGGCCCCCGGGTGGATAGGGCCCGGGCCCCCCGGCGGATGGGGCCCCGGTGGATGGATCCGAGCCACCGGGAGAACGGGCCCCGGGTGGACGGGGCCCGGACCCCCGGGTCCCGCGAGAACGGGTCCAGGCCCCTCGGGTGGATGGGGCCCGAGGCTCCGGGAGAACGGGCCCGGGCCCCCTGGGTGGAGGGGGCCCGGGCCCCCGGCTGGATGGGGCCCGGGCCCCCCGGGAGAACGGCCCTGAGCCCCGGGTGGACGGGGCCGGACCCCCGGTTGGATGGGGCCCGGGCCCCGGGAGAACGGGCCCGGGCCCCCTGGGTGGATAGGGCACGGGCCCCTGGGTGGATAGGGCACAGGCCCCCGGGTGGATGGGGCCCGGGCCCCGGGAGAACGGGCCCGGGCCCCTTAGGTGGATGGGGCACGGCCCCCCGGGTAGATGGGGCCAGGGCCCCCCGATGGATGGGTCCGGGCCCCCGGGAGTACGGACCCCAGGCCCCGGGTGGACGGGGCCCAGGCCCCCGGCTGGATGGGGCCCGGGCCCCCTGGTGGGCGGGCCCCGGAGCCCCGGGTGGACGAGGCCCGGAGCCCAGGTGAACGTGGCCCGGGCCCCCGCGTATGGATAGGGCTTGGTCCCCCATGTGGATAGGGCCCGAGCCCCCGGGTGAATGGGGCCCGCTAGGGTGACCCGCTTGCTTCGCAACGCGAATAAGGGGTATTTTCGATCGGTGGGCGTTTGGTTGGTCTTGTGTCTGTGGGTTATGTATCCATTACGGTCGATTGCCTTTTGACGGCTAAGCATTTTGGTTTTGGGAAAAAATATCCATCGCATCGAGGTGCTCGTGTCTGATAATAACCATGCGTTCTACTATAGAACATGCCAAGTGTATTTCATGACATAGGTTGGCGTAGGTTATTGAAGAGTGAAAGCCATCGATGAATTACTATGTAGAGGTTTGAAACATTTATATTCTTAAGAATATTGTTGCTCGTCATGCAAAAGCGATGATTGGACCTTGGTCACAATTGAATGCTCTTCCAATCTATGCCCATTTCAATTGTCAAACATACCAGGTTATGTAGCAAAACCCCTGTAATTAAGTAAGTCATAAGCAAATGCTATTTTCTCCAGCAATTTGTTCCACCTTGTTTTTGATCAATTAGCTTTTCACAATTTTCCCATGAGAGGCGGTAGGTACATTTCTCTTGCCAACAAGCGTTGTTTGAACCCGCTCCGTCTGACAGTCACCCAAAAATAGCATTAAGTCCAAAATCCGTCCAAAACGTCAATTTTTCAAGCATAAGTGCCCTCACGGGTGCACGTGGCGCGTGCCATCCCTGCACCGCACACCATTCGATAGCCCGTTCGATTCTCATGCACGATACTGTGTTCCTCTTGCCGATCGGACCCACGGTTACCGAGATACTGCACGGGGACCGGACCCGTGTCGGGCAAGTTGAGCCATTGTCGCCCATTTTTGCAAGCCGATTTATGCATGTAAAGTCTATGACGCGAATTTGCACTTTTTGAGCACGCGCCATGTGCTCACCACCGGCCCGATCGAGCTGTGACTCTTCACAGGCACGTTACCCATCCTTGTTCTATAAGTTGCGCGAATTTCAGCGCACTATGGAAGTTACGTCGCGATCAGCCGCTTTTTTACGCGAGTTCTTCGCGAAAAAAAAAAACCTTAGGGGGTTGCATCAACCCCTCCCCCCTGTGCCGGCGAGGGTTAAAACTTCTTACGAGCGAATTCACGTAATGAAGAAGAATAAAAGCACAATCTACTACAGCAGCCAATAGATGACTTAGGACAGGCACATGGGACTACTTTTAAATCTTGTGCGACAGAAGCAGGCAACAGTTCCGATTGCATATAGTTAATATGCTATGCATATTGCGGAATTGGGGCTCATATCGGACTGAAAGATACGAAGTCATACGTCATAGTAACATATTTCTGTCGTGGTCAATTTGCGTAAAAAGTGAAGACCGGATGATTACCGAGCTACTGTTCTATGCAAATTTTCTGATTCAAACTCGCTCAGGGTTATCGTGCAGGTAAAGGGGGCCCGCCCAGCAGAATGCGTATGAAATATGGAGAGATTCTGAAAAATGGGTGGGGGCCCGCACACTAGGGGGCCCGCTTTGGAAGTGATGACCCCCCCGAAACGAAATCCTGGCTGCGCCACTGGGTAGAACTCTTTCGACTGAATAAGTAATAGCAATTTATGTCTGATGCGCGTGAATATGATATATCGTTCCGTAATTCACATGTAGAATGCTGCGCTTCGCTCGACGCCCGACAATCTGACGCTGTCTCTCGCTTTTACCTGTATGTTGACGATGCGTGGTAGCGGTTGGGACGTGTTGGCTCCACCTTCTATCACGATACCAAGCAGTGGCTTGTTCTTGGGTATCGTCACCTTGATGTTACCCTCAGGGTCCTCCAAGATCGGGCTTGCCGGGTAAGAATCCATCTCCTGTCGAGCAATCATTGTTCAGGTGTACCTATTTCTCGCCGAACATAATAACCACAACTAATATCTGTTGTGTATACAATTGTGGGCCACTAACCGTGGACTAGTATCTATGATAAAAATAGGTTTTGTGACGCCGCAACGCCTAACAGCCCTTAACCAATTAATGTCACATGGAAAACTGTTGCTAACGTGTTGGACCGTCCATCAAATCGATCAGTTGAATTTGACGACGACAAATGCAGTGCAGTTAAAATTAGTTCAGCGTGACATTGCACGGTAACAAGTGCATTGAAGTTGATTTATTTTTCAGAGCTGCCTAGTATAGAAACGTAACACCATAAGGTGTTACTACGCCTGATTAACCCTCGCCCTGGCAGGGCATTTTTCATAAAACGGCCTGGCAGGGGGGGGGGGGGGTCGATGCGACCCCCCCCCTCGCGATTGGCTCCTATGGCACCTAGAAACACCAAATTAGGTAGGTAGGTGGGCCCCTTAGAGTTCTCGCCCCTGTGCAAATTTGGTTGCTCTAGGTCAATATTTAGGGGGGTTTTGGGGGGTATAAATGTAAAAATGTCGCTAAAAACAGGTCAAAAGTTTTTCGCTTATAACTTTTGATCTAATTAAGATAGAGCAAAAAGAAAAGCACCAGTGAACTCAGCACGTCAAGGCGCGTCGAATGATATACGTTTTAGCTTGCTTAAGTGTACTTCAAGTTTTTCTTAAATTTTAAGTATACTTAAATTAATAAATTAAGTTAAAGTTAGCCAAATTGCATCATATCGCATATCATTCGATTCGGCTGATCACCAGGAACACAATGATCCCATTTTTTAAGCTCTAGCGTCATTATGTGCCAAGTTATTGGCAAAAACGTCACTTGACCTCAGTTGACCTCATTTGACCTGACCCATGGATAAGTACACCAAACAAAGAAGCACCAAGTGACCTGCTGTTTACGAGCGAGCGAGCGCAGCGAGCGAAGCGAGTCTTTTCAATATAACGGAAAAATCTCAGTATGAGCGGCCCGGCCCGGCCCGGCCCGGCCCGGCCCGGCCCGGCCCGGCCCGGCCTGTAACGCTTTTGAGAGGCTTATATCTCAGCAACCGCTGGACCGATTGGCCTGCGGTCTTTTTTGCTGGGTAGCCCCATCCCTTCTACCCCGTAATTGACTACTTTTGATACATGTCAGCGACCGTCGTGGCACGTGCCACGTGAAAAGTCAAGGATGTTCAAGCTGTTTTGCAAAAGTAGTGATTTTGAGAGGCTCATATCTCAGCAGCCGCTTGGGCGATTGACTTGCGGTAATTTTTGTAGGGTAGCAGCATCCCTTCTACCAAAAATAGGATACTCTCGATGCATGTGGGTCACCCCCAGTGCACGTGCAAAATACAACAATAAGAAGTGTCAAATTTGTTCCCATTTTAACCCGCGCCCTGGTGGGGGGGGGCTATTTTTTGCCCCCCCCCCCCCCTCCAGACTTTTCGATATATCTCCAGAACCGCTGCGCCGATCGCCACCAAACTTTCAGTACCCTCTCGGACATCAATTTTACACATCTTGACCAAAAAAATTTCCAAAGGCTATGATAGGTTGGCAGGAAATGACGTCAGAGTGACGTCATGTTCTGCCGTTTTCGACCAAAAAAAGGGTTTCGCGGGAAGAGCTGTTAGGCCTATAGCTTTGCAAATACAAAAAAAACGATAAAGACATAAAAGATGTAGAATTGACAGGGCTACAGAACTGCTATCTCGGATTTTTGAAATTTTTGGATTTTAACCCACAAAAATCAAAAAATAGATTTTTTGAATATAATAGCCGAAAAATCCAAAAAGTTTTTGGAATTTCGCAAAAACCGGAATATATATATGATAGTCTTTACCGCCTTCTATCCACATACCAAATTTGAGATTGATAACTCTTTTTTTGGCCAAGTTATAGCGAAAAAACTGTTCAAAATTGATGACGTCAAATTTTCAAACTCAATTTTTAGCAATTCTAGACCCCGTAGCGCAAAACAAAGACCACCATTAGACTCCCCGTGACGAGCTGCATCGAATCAATACCCATTTTATGCAAAACTATCAACTTTAAAATTTGACCTTTCTTGACCTGACCTTGACCTGACCTTCACCAGAAAGTGACCTAAGCTGTACCTGATAGTCTTATAATTAACACCATTGAGTTGGAAATGAAAAATTGGCCATAAAACATGCATCGCACAACCTTAGTACCTAATGTTAGGTTCATGTGACCTGACCTCTGACCCTTGGTGACCTGAACTGTGACCTGACCTGGTATTGTCAGTGACCTCTTATAGCAACATATGTACTAGGCAACTGAAGCCCTATCGCTGATTCTCGACAAAATGCGTTTTCTTCGGTGTTATAGCGCATTCCCTAGATGACCCGTTCACGGTGAAACATTTCATCTTTGACCTGACCTGTGACGTCATCGGTGACCCCGAGGTCAATGAAATTTGGTTTCCCTCGACAAATTTGATAGGCCTTTCGAACACCGTTTGAATTTTGCGGATCCGTCAAGTAGTTTCGGAGATACGAGGGGGGGCAAAAAATAGCCCCCCCCCCCCCCACCAGGTCGCGTTATAAACAGACCCCACCAGGGCGCGGGTTAATAACTCGGTAATTACTGGGACGATTTCGCTGAAACTTGGCATACAGGTAGGCACCCACCAGGCAATGCATTCACATGTGTTGCGGTTAAGGTGCTACTGCACGTGCGCACGTGCAGGGGGCGCTTCCAGATCTCGAGAACGGCTGGGCCGATTGCGCTCAAATTTGGTACACGGTTGGGGACCAGTTAGTAGGGTGCCGTGCAAAAGTCAGTTTGGACCCCGTTTGCACGTGCGCACGTGCAGAATGCCGCTTCCAGATCTCAGGAACGGCTGGGCCGATTGCGTTCAAATTTGGTACACCGCTAGCGACCGGTTAGAAGGGTGCTTTGCGCAAGCCCGTTGGAAGTACCCTCTCGGGCTTCCGCACGTGCAGCCTGCAGGGCTCACTATCTCGCTCGCTCGTTCTTCGCCCAAAAGGCGTTTTACTGGTAAGTACTGTGGTTTCAAAGCACAAAACTGATAGAACGAAGCGGATATCTCCAGTATTTTCCGAATTTAGTATTTTCCCATAGGCTTAACATTACGACGTAATGATCTCTAACTGACCTCAGGTCAGTGACCTAAAAAAATCCGAACTATATGTTATACAGCTCGGTGAACTTAGCACATCCTGAAAGTCTGAAGGAAATCAGTGCAAAACTGTGAGTTGGACAGGTGCAAAAAGAAAATTGAAATTTGACCATGACCTTGTACCGGTTTTTCTGACCTGGTGACCTGACCCAAGGTCACCCGGACCTGAAATTTTCAGGTCATATGTAAAAAGGTTGCCCCATAGGCTGTGCCAATTGCCGTTTTTACGCTATCTTCGAAAAACCTTAGGGGGGGGGGGTCGCATCGACCCCCCCCCCCCTGCCAGGGCGAGGGTTAATTTAGGAGTGGAAATTTTCAATGCATCATTCCCACCCGATCAATCACAGTCCCCCGTTCGGCCACTGACCGTTTCTGTCAGGGCGCTGGCCGGTCGCAGTCGGGTCAGGTCACTGCTGAAGCTCGGGTCCCCGGTCGGCACTGAGGTCAGTGACCTGCACCGGTCAGGGAGGCGCGACACGGCGGTCACCGGACCGGCCAGAGCCGCCCGCAGTGCGCCGGCCGGAGACAGGGCGCCCTGAAACTGGAGCCCGTCAGCACACTGACGGAGATGGCAACACACTAATGGCGCCTGTCAGGGGCGCGGGAACTACTTTCCGACTGGGGGGCACACCATAATAGAGATCAACCTAGGGCACCCCCAAATCTAGTTTTCTCACCGGTTTTAGGCCACTTATTTTTCACCCCTCGGCTTTTTCAAAAAAAAAAACATTTGCAAAAAAAGTGTGGCATTCCGTCTCAAAGCTGTGGGGGCACCGCCCCCACGGCCCCAGAGTTGGAGGGGCAAGCTGCCCCCACTGCCCCCCCCCCGGCTCCCGCGCCTATGGCGCCTGTCAACACACTGAGCGGTTTGCACAGTGCCCAGGCGGTCAATATGCCGTCAGGACCGTGTGCCAGGGCCGCCAAAGACTGCTTGGCCTGTCATTGCGTTGTATCTGGCAACGCCTGGGCGGTGGGCACGATGAAGGATATTGATCCAATCACTGCATGCATCTTCCCTTATGCTTAGCCTCAACCCAGGGAAAGTTTGATGATGAAGGATAACCTGTCCGCTTTGCCCCATCGATCAGAACATCTGACGTAAAAAGGCATTCCAGTCTCATCCTGGTGCGCCCATATTGGACGGTGGATAAGCCGGGGCTGAAAAGGCACGCCCCCGGCCGCAGCTAGTGTAGGTAATGGATGTCTCCACGTGCTTTTATCGCCGGACGGCCCGCCGAGGAGGTGACTTACCGTGCCGCCGTGACCCGCGTGGCCGGGGTCGTCTACATGTCTGTGGAAGACCACCCGCGACCGGGCGGCCAGCGGCCAATCCTCTTCGCCGAGGCTTCTGAGGAGCACGCGCGGGCGTCAGGGACTCAGTTTGTGCGCATTTTGGTGAAATGTTTGAGAATAAGTTACGAGTACCTAAGGAGTTATCGGAAACCACGGTGATTTCAAGATACGTAACTTTTTATTTTGAATATAATATAATCAAAGTACAGTGTTGACATCACCTACCTGTGATGAGGGGCTGCGTAGGAGCCATTGGGAAGCTCGATGCCAGAGTCATCGCTCGGGGATCGCTGAATCTGCGGTTGCCGGGGCCGCCACCAGGCGCCGCCACCTGTCTGGTGATGGACGCCAGCGCCAGCCTCTCGGAAAGGTGAAATACAGTGATAACATACCGCTGACACGGACAATAGGTAAAGATCAAATTCAGTGATTGCATGTCACTATTTTATCGCAATAAAAAAACGCAACGGGCTCTCATTAGGATTGATCGGAAATGACATGGCTTTGGGCATTTTTATTGTGTGCCGATTCCAAAAAAAAATTGATACCTGTGGCATACCCAAGATTCTTACAGATATGGGCATACCTACCTACTTCATGCTGCATTCTCAACGATGTTAGGTTGACAAGTACACAATCGTCCTTGACCCTGTCCCATCCCCATCCATGGCCACAACGCAATACTGAGAAAAAGCCTCGGCCTGACGTTGGTCCGATCCAACTTTACCACAATTCAGCCCAGCGTGGCTAGCTGGCGGTCTGAACGGGCAGAGTGCCCCCAGGGGTCCCGGCCAATACCCCTCGGCCTGAAATAGAGCGTGGTGCCGTCGGAGCAGCCACCCGACTCGGGACAGCCACCCCGGCGGCCGGGACGAATTTATGTTTCGCAGTGACCGCTCGGAAAGAATTAATATCAGCAGCAATGCTGCGTTGCGTCACTTTGCCAGGTGCCGGTTCAGGAAATCATTAGGTATCGCCAGTGTCACACCGGCACCGATTGTAAAACGACCGGTGCTAGTGCGAGCCGGGGAAGAAAGCGATAAGACCTGCAGGCTACCACTGTGGCCGATGTTGGTCGATGCTAGAAGTGTGCTTTCTTTCAGGTCCACATTGAGTGCCAACGGTGTAATGAACAGTGAATTGTTTTTTTTTTTTCTTTTGTTTTTGGTACCGAACTGCCAAAAGGTAATTTACATCGAATGAACTAGAAAATTATACCAATGCTAGCCCGAACCTATCAACTCAAATAGTAATCCAAACTATTCGGGTAGGTGTATTTGAAGTATTATTGCGTGCCTGAAGGAAATGAACTGCAGAGTGGTCAACTGCAAACGACCATTTCGTTCCAGCATCATCTCTCTGTCATCCCATATGATGTCGCTGGCGTGATTTTTTTTTTTTCTAGAAGCGCGTGAGGAGCCCAGTTCTTGCCCGTTACGTGTTCGGATGGCATTTTACCAGCAAACGCTCCAGAAATGTGCGGCATTGACTACTTACCGAATGTTCAAAAGGACGCCGTCGGTCCGAGTGGTAGACCATCTGATCGAACCGCACCTGGTCGGCCGGCGACACGATCTCGCGCAGCTCCGTCAGCAGCGTCAGCTGCAAATAGAACACGGTGACGTGTGAGCAGTGGTGAACACGCAGCAGTAAGGGATGTCATTGTGAACAATGGTGTGTATGTTCCAGGAATATCTCTTTCAGATTAGGTACTCGTGTAGTCGTTTCGCATAGTCATCAGATGCCTCGTAGTTCGTATCATCGTTTGTGTATGCTTTGGATCGATCAGGCCAATTAATCATTTGCTTTCATCCAATCTTATCCGAGTGATAAGATATGCATACCGAGGAGAAAAACAGCCCGATTTAAATGTTTCACGATGGTTTTTCAGTTATCGGCGAGGAAAACAACGATGAAATATTGCTCCCTTCGGGAACATAATTTGATAATGAAACTTCCTGTCATGTCTCCTGATGCCAGCGCTCTTTTTGCTAAGGTTCTAGCGGAGGAAAAATTACAAAATAAGCTGTTTTTGGCTATGGGGACAAGGCCATCCATCATTCCGAAACGCGAGATGTAATAGCCGCTAAATTAACTGTAGCTACGAGCACGGCTGTCCAGCAGTGTTCCAAGAACGGAAGAACTTGCCAAATCACTATGCCCTACTTATTCATTCTAAAAAAAAAAACACCGGTCGCTACCCATGAGCTGCAAGCTGGTCAGTAAAAAACGACGCGCAAGAACGATTCCGCAGTAATTTTTCAAAGACCTTGAATTTATATGAACAATTTAACTACTTATCCCAATGCAGTTTGGTATATAGTCATGTTTTAGCCCAGACGAGGCGTAATGGCGGTGTCGTAAATAGACATACTTCAGATGGACCCGACAGGAACGTTTTCGGTGTACTTGGGTCGTGAGGGGACACGAATTTCATATATCTTGCTTTGCTTGCATTTAGGGAACAAACGGGCCAAGATCAGGAAGAATAAGTGTGTTTTTAAAGCGACTGCTCGAAGATAAATGTCTGTGTTTTCTCCATATTGGCAGCAACAAATCGTGAAATTGTGAATTCTGTTTCAAGTTGTCCATTCGCTTATCGGCCAACGTGATGAAAAAACCTGAAGCGTACGTAGAATCAGTGACCATAGTAGCCAGTAAAGCGGTTCTGGCAGTTTCAATAGATTTTGGAGAAAGAAATGCGTGTGAAAGTTAAGTATACTAGGTGCGTTCAATAAGTAAGTTCCGGAGAGCAATTACATAAAATTCACGCGGTCTACGCACGTGATTTTTTTCAGAGATTAGAATTCTGACCTTTATGTCGAAGTGACCGCATTTTCAGCTTCTTATTCTATTTCTGTGACGATATGGAGCAGATCAAATAACACCATTTTTTAGACTGCTTTAGAAATGGCATCGGCCACCCGAGAGGATCAACGTTCAGTGATACGATTCCTAGCTGTCCAGGGCTAGCCGGTGGCTAACATCCACGTCAACTTCGTGAATGTGTACGGGAGCCATGCTCTTAGTGATTCCGCAGTTCGGAAGCGGAAGAAAAAGTGTGGGGAGGGGAGGGAGAGCGTGCGCGACCTGGCACGTGCAGGCAGGCTGAGGACGATGGTCACAGCTACTGACGTCGCCAAAGTGGAGGAGATGGTGATGGCCAACAGAAAGATTAGGGGAGATCCGTGTAAGACGCCCAGGGTCGGTAAGAGGCCCCATCGCTTTTTTTACCAAACCAATAATGTTATTTATTTTTTAATGTTCTTGTAAAGCAGAAGCCCTCTTGAAACAACAACTCACGAAACCTGAGGTATCAGGTGCGTCGCAGCGACTTTTGGTAAGCCTGTTTCTGTTTTTGCCCCTTTACTTGCTAGATATATGCATCTTTATCACCCTTATATATCTGAAAAAACAATGACTATCAAATGCAATCTTATCTCATCGAAATTGTCACATGTTAGCTTCAGAATAGACCATGTTCTGGTGCGCTGCAAATGTCTCATAAACCATAAATATTGTGACGTTAAAACACTGCATTTTTTTAAGAGGCCCTCCCTTCGAGGATTATAAAACGCCCCCCCGATAAAAAACGCCCCCGATGCTAAAACGCCTGCACCTGCGGCAGGCGTGGCATTCTTTTTTCAAGGAGTTTGTTTTTGTTTCTTTTTTTCTGTTTCTTTTTCTAGAGGTAATAGGTACAATTTTCGTTGGTCATCAGCGTTTGGTTGTGCTAGTTTTCGCATTGTTCGAGCGCTTTGGAAGTGTTATTGGTTTCGATAACACCGTATTTGCTTAGCTTTTCGAAATAAAAGGCCTTGCAGCTGTGTTCGCAAAACGTCTTTTACAAGTCGACTTGCCTTGTTAAACGCCCGAGGGGGGGGGGGGGGCGTCTTACCATACCCATAGTGTAAGAGGCCCTTTTGCAACTTTTTCCAAAATGTATAAGTTTACGGTTTGTGTACCCCCTAGATTCATTTTGAATGCAAATATGTATGGGAAAATGATGCATGCTCACAGCGCATGCACACGTTAGCTCTTAAATATTATCAGTTGTCTAAAAATAGCAACTGAGCTTAAGGGGGGGCCTCCTGCACCACTCTCCCCTACTGTCCAGGCGATAACAGAAAGCCTAAACATAAGCCTACGCCAGGATCATTAGAGACCATCTCCTGCCAGTAATCGCCAGTTGCCGCCCCGAGAAGGCTCGTGGTCGATTCATCCTCCACCAGGATTGCGCGCCTCCTCACCGTGCCCTCGTGGTGAGGGATGCCCTGCAGGCAGAGGGCATCGAGGTGCTCTAACACCATCCCTACTCTCCAGACGTTGCACGCAGTGACTATTGGCTGTTCGCAGACATGAAGAAAAATCTCCGGGGCCGGAGGTTCGGTTCGTGGTCTGCACTCGGGTCTGCTTTTTACCAGTATGGCGAAAAGACCCTCACTTAAAGCTTCCGTGCGGCCATCCGGGACCTGGCCAAGCGATGGGAGCGATGCGTTCGCCTGCAGGGCGAGTTCGTCGAGCCGTGAGCCATGTTTGGTTGAGATATGCCCAAAAATAAACGAGTTATATCAAAACGGAACTTACTTGGGGCATTCCAGGACGATTCAACAGGTGCATAACACCCGACCCCCTCAGATTTGCTTCTAAATTGCTATACAGGGTTATTCTGTGCCCAGAAGCAGAATCTGAAATTGTCAGACCCGTAGAAGCAACAGTTTCTGAGTTATAGCATTGGGAAATTTTGGAAAGTTAAAAAACATAATTGTATTTTAGTAGCTATATCTCTTCGAAAACTTTTATTAAACTATAAAAATTATACATATTTGAACTCGCCACATCACAAGCTTTCTGATGGTATGCAAAAATTTTCAAAATTTTTAATTTTTAATTTTCCGAAAATTGTTCAAAAATTTATATCAATTTTTTCAAAGTGTGACCAGTTAAATAGAATTTATTTTTTTAGCTTTTATTAATGCTTAGGGTATTGGGAAACTATATTGTGAAAATTGGAGATAGGTATTTTTTATAAATATTTTATTTTATTTTTTACTTTCTCCATGTAAATATACCATTTTGCTTTGATATGGTGCCGACGGTGCTATCTCGGGAACGGATGATCGTAGCGCGCCGGACGAGGCGGCAATGGAAAGATCTCAACGAGATGGATCTAGACATTGTCCGAATATTGTTCTTAAAGGTCACGGGTCAGGTCAAGGTCAGGTCAAAGACCAAAATTCCAGGTTCTCATTCCCCGGCTGCTCCTGAGGCACTTTCATAATGATGAAGCGATGTGAAAATCGCACAGCATGCGTCCAACTTATTTATAAAGGCGGTGAATCAGTAAATATGCAATCACAAGGTGAGGTCAAGGTCAAAATCAGGTCACGAAAGGTCATGATGAATAAACAGGGATTAGGGACATGCGACACATGTTTTATGGGTTATTTTCCGATTCCAAGTCAATGGTGATGGGCATTTGACCATTCGGGACCAAATCAGGTAAGATTAGGCCAATGCCAAGGTCAATGTGTAAAGTTGCTGTTTCTATGTCGGCATTAAAATACCTACCTAATAAAATTGTATGATATATGGCTATACTAGAGTAATGAGTGAAATGAAATGAATAATTTTTACATTTGTCTCCGTTTCCAAATTTCCATTTGGCCCATCCCGAAACCTATCGCTATATCATCTGCGCCTGTGACAGACCAGTCACTGCGAGCTCGGCTCGCTTGAATGAGCCTTGGCGCGGTGACAGACGACGCGCCGATCCATGTGGTCAAAACAGCACAATAAAATCATCGGGTGCCATAAACGCATAGGGTGACGTTGGTCGCTGGTCACAGCTGCGCGGGCCAGTTGCGAGATGGGGACTCCAGTCTTCCGAAAGTCACCGCATGCGACAGTGCTTGTGAACCGTTCGTGCTTGGAAATGTCACCACGTGCAGCAAGAAATTACTGCCAGGATCCGTTTGATTGTCATCATCCGAATCGAGTGCTGAAAGGAGTTCAGAGAGTATCCGCAAGACTAGTGAGTGAAGTGAATGACGACAGGGTAGGAGTGGTGCATTTTTATGCGTTTCCTGCCGGAAACGACTGCTTAAAGACAACAACACGACCGCTGTCCATGCTTTCCAAAAGGCTCTGATTCCACGACTGAAGGAAAAAAATTCCGTCTTTGACTAAAATCAGATACTTTTCAGACGGCTCAGCAGCACAGTACAAAAACCGCTTCAACTTTTCAAATATCTGCGCTCACAAAAGTGACTTTGTGCTAGACTGCGACTGGCAATTTTTTGCCACCTCGCACGGGAAAGGCGCATGTGACGGCGTGGGAGGCACCGTGAAGAGAGCGACCGCTCTCGAGAGTCTACGCAGGCCCACAAGGGAGCAAATCACAAACGCGACCGAAATGTTTGAGTTTTTAAGTGACAAATTCGAGACTACAGTGAACTTTGTATTCGTGTCGAGGGTCGAAGTCGAAAAAGCTGCAGAACACCTCAAGGAGCGTTTCAGCAAAGCGGTGGCAGTGAAAGGCACGCAGAGTCTGCACTGCTTTATTCCGGTCAACCACGAGACACTGCGAGTCTCAAAGTTGTCAGGGGGACCAGGCCGGCTGGTGAAAGTGCACCGCAGTAGGGCACCGAAAAGACGAAAGTGAGCCCGCGTAGACTTGCCAGCACCCCTGCCGTGTGTCTGTATGGTGGCTGTCTGTGCACTGTATTGTTGGTGATATGTGTGCCCAATACATTTCAACGAGCTGGTCACCAAAATGTGTGTTGTATTTCCTTCGTTGAACAAGGGATTGGTTGACCTGACCATGACCTGACCTGATTTTGTCCCGAATCGTCAAATGCCCATCACCATTGACTTTGAATTGGAAAATAACCCATAAAACATGTGTCGCATGCACATAATCCCTTTTTATTCATCATGACCTTTCGTGACCTGACCTTGACCTGACCCGTGACCTTTAAGAACAACATTCGGACAATGTCTAGATCCATCTTGTTGAGATCTTTCCATTGCCGCCTCGTCCGCGCGCTACGATCATCTGTTCCCGAGATAGCACCGTCGGCACCATATCAAAGCAAAATGGTATATTTACATGGAGAAAGTAAAAAAATAAAATAAAATATTTATAAAAAATACCTATCTCCAATTTTCACAATATAGTTTCCCAATACCCTAAGCATTAATAAAAGCTAAAAAAAATTTATTTAACTGGCCACACTTTGAAAAATTTGAAATAAATTTTTGAACAATTTTCGGAAAATTAAAAATTCAAAATTTTGAAATATTTTGATACCATCAGAAATCTTGTGATGTGGCGAGTTCAAATATGTATAATTTTTATAGTTTAAAAAAAGTTTTCGATTAGATATAGCTACTAAAATACAATGATGTTATTTAACTTACCAAAATTTCCCAATGCTATAACTCAAAAACCGTTGCTCCTACAGGTCTAAAAATCTCATATTCGGCTTCTGGGCACAGAATAACCCAATACAGCAATTTTGAAGAAAATCTGAGGGGGTCGGGTGTTAATTTGCACCCATGAGCTGTTGAATCGTCCTGGAATGCCCCACTTATTGAACATACTGGTAGACAGCCGAAAACAAAGGGTTAGAAATTCAGTCGAAATCAAAGACAACTAGATTCAAGAAAGGGAGCATATCGGGCATTACACTACTCGTAACATCCGATATTATGGAACTGTTAGGCGGCACGGGCGGACATCGATAGCAGCGCCTCTATCGGTCACTAGGGAAAGCTGGGCTGTAGGCGACGATATACCGGCTGAGTTGTCACACGTTGAATAGGTTTATAGCCATCCGTCTTGTGAAAAAGTTGAACTTTTGCCTTTAATATTTCTACAGGCAATTTTAGAAGTGTCTTCACATGGTTTACAAAACCGTTTAGATTATTGTATTCACTTCAAGCCTTCCCTATTGTTCTTGATGATGCGGGAACTATTTATAATTAGTGTTTCTAGCTGAGTAAAAGAACATACTGTGCAAACGATGAAAAAAGCATAAATGGAAGATTTTAAATGCAATTTTCTCTAACAATTAATGGTAAATTCTCTACATATCCAGGAAAAGGTGCATGCTAACTGATAGTTTAAAGTTCTTGGGGCCAGTTGTTTTCTTCTTTTCTTACGTCGCCCCAATGGCCGCGAATACACTTGTGATAACGCCTATCGGGAAATTAACATTTTTCCTTGCATAGAATGAAAACGCTAATGCTTACGAAATGGTTTCTCTCATTGGAAAAATACGCTTCAATTGCACTGGAACGCACAAAGCAGAAAAGCTCCGTATAATGTTTGTGCTGTTTGATACCTACTGTCAATAATGGGCAATGGCAAGAACGAAATATGCCTATTATAATGCTGATTTTATAGGAAAAATATTATATCACGTAAGCGGTCACAATTGCATTTTTCCACTTCTTGAGGGGAAGACCATTTTAGCCGGATATCCATGAATTTAAAAGCTAGCTGGCCTATACGTACTCTGCCAGGAATTCTGCTAGGTGAAACATTTTCTCAGGGAAGAAGTCCGACTTAAGAAACTCCAATAACTTTGGTTATGGGTATTGTTAGGTTAGGGCACGGTAATACCTGACAAGCAATGCTTTTAATTCAATTTATAAAATCGCTGTATTGGTCATAAATCCCCATCGACTATAGTGATTATCATGTCGATCGAATGTCGATTGCGATTATACAGACAAATTACTAATGGTGCATTTTACATGAGTCGACCTGAAATAACACTTTTATCATCCAACTCAATCGAAAAAGACCCAAAGAATTTCAGCGTGAGCTGTCGGATATACCTATGCTTTGCGTAATGTCTCAGAGTAGTGCGCAGCTTGAAAATGCTGAAGGTGAGGCTCCGTAAGCCCCCTATTGGTATTCTGGCCGTATGTGAGCACAGGCCATCGCGTCCAAGTGGTCGTCGTGCTGTTATCGCGCGTCGAGCTGGCAGCGCGACCAGTTTTTATCGCCCTCCGGACGGACGAAACACGAGAGCGTCGCGGACGGCTCCGGAGCCGAGGAGACTGTCTAGGAACGTGACCGGCCGGTGCGGCGGAGTCGGTCCCAGATCTACCGTCCCCGGCCGCCGCGGGCACGCAGCGCCCCGGCACGGCCCGCACGGCCCGCACCGGCCCGGCTATCTCCAGATTAAGTGACGACGCCCGCGGGGCCGGCAAATCGTCGCCATTCGTCTGGCGGAAATGTTTGGGTCAGCCGGATGCGGGGCACGTCGGAGCGCGATCGTCGGCTGGCGGGGAAACGAGACGGCCCGGCACCGGCCGCGCCCCTGTTCAGTCACCGGCAACTGCAGGTAGCCAATGGCCAGACCGAGCGGGCGATTGCAATCTTCGGAAGGGAAATAGATGGTGTTTTCGACAGAAGCCCGGCTTCGTGAGCTATAAACACCTGGAAGCGAATATATTGGAAAAGGGTGAAAATTGCTTGTTTGGTTAAAACTCTGAACTCCAGAAAATTCGTGCCTTAGTGTTGTTGTGTATGTGTCTTTAACACTCGCACGATTGTATGTCTACCCTGTTAACATTATATCAAAGAAAGAGTCATGCCTAACAATTTTTACGTCAGCGATATCAAGTTCCGACATTCAGCACCACAGCCTAATGCGTGATAATTCCAGTGCCGCCCAGACATAACAACCAACTTGGTATTTCTGTTCCACACACGGGTTCTCTAAGCAACAGCGTCGCAGCTGGTAAAGAAGCAGCCGAGCTCACACTATTCGGGTTCCGACAGCAGCGTCCTGCGCATACTAAAGGTGGCTAATTAATTCCCGCCCAACGTCAGGCCCAGAGGGACGAGCAGCGTGAAAGGACTGGCGCAGAAAGAGCTCCGTCTTTAGGCCTAAACGCCGCCTAACGATTGCCTTGATACGGTTCACGATCAAAGTTTGTAGCGATTGAAATGGTGCGTAGTCACTGGTTCTGGTTATGAAAAATGCATCAGATGACGTCACAGGCAGAGCGAGGCAGACAGCTCACCTGTCCGCAGGCCGTGAAGGAATGCCGTTGAGGACTGTGTTGGAAACATATTGCACAAGGCGGACAAAGAAACGCCCGTTTCTCCGGAGTGTGAGGGTGCACTTCGGTTATCATTCCTGGTGACTTTGTCATAGACATCATTAGGTATAGATTCACATGCACAAACTCGGTATGTCAAGTAAAGCGATTGAGCTATGCAGGCCAGTGACAGCGGTCAGCGATTGCCGAACCCTTTGGCCTGGCGCCGCCCCTGCCTTTCTGCGGCCTCCAGCGCCTCCCAGAAAAACAAGCCGATGCGTTCGCCTCCACGGACTAACTCGAAGGTGTCGGAGCTGGAGGTGTGCAGCACGGCTCGCAAAGGGCGGCTGCTCGTGCCGACAGTGCCGTCTGGTGTGAGTTGCGCCGGCAAGGCTGTCTGAGTTGAAGGGAACCAGCCGCGCTGACTGCCTGGTGTGAGCCAGTCGCTAAGATAGGGCTGCCTGCAGGGAGCCGGCCGTTCTGACAAGGGCGTGTGTTGTAGACCAGCCGCTCCGACGGAGCCGTCTGATGTGGAACGTGCGCGTCGACAGTGCCGGCGTCTGAAGTGAGCTTGCCGCGCTGACTGTGCTGTCTGGTGAGAACTGTATTGACAGTGCTGTCTGAAGTAAGTCAGCCACTCAGTGCTGTGCGCGAGCCACCTGTGCTCAGCTGTGACGGTGATAAAGTGATACAGCAAAGAGTATTTTTCAAAATCCTATGGGAAAGATTCAAAGCAGCTGGTTTGGTTTTGTGTTGAGATAAGTTGTTTTCTTTGCGAGTTCTCTGAAACGATGTGGAAGAAATTGAATACGGTAAGTACCGAAGCATTGCGTAACGGTGGGCCATGGTAGGTTGAAAAAGTTTCAATGGCTTGTTACGAGCCACCCTATTGGCTACCCTCACACGAGTCACCCATATTGGCTACCCTCGCACGAACCACCCTCATATGGCCCAGGGGCGGATCCAGAAAATCTCCAAGGGAGGGGCCATTAGAAACCAGGAGGCCCCCCCATAATCCCACCTGTTGGAGGCCCCATCTTCCCACTTGTTGGCCCCCCCCCCCAAAAAAAACTGCGTCTATTGAGCTTATCTAGCTGTTCAGGCAACATCTCAACATCTGTGCAGGCTTGGAGGCCCTCTGTGCAGGTTAGGAGGCCCTGTAAAGTGGTCATCTCTGTGAGTATAAGAGACCTCCAAGTTATGAAAAGCTTTACCAATCTTCTAACAAAGAAGTCTTCTCAGCTAGTCTTCTAAGAAATAACTAAGTGGGTAGTTTAAAAAAAACTCATCGGATTTCGGCCACTTTATTTTCAGGAGGCCCCCTTTTCAGCTTTTTAACTTTTTAACTTTTTATTTTATTTTTGAAAAAAAATCGGCCAAGGGGGGGGGGCATGGCCCCCATGGCCCCCCCCCCTTGTATCCGCGCCTGTGGCCACCCTATTGGCCATAGCTTCTAAATATGATGAACGTAAAGTTACTGTAGACCTTCGATGACACGGAAGCTAAATCGCTGATGTGGTAACAAAGGACTTCACCATAATTTCCGCTCGTCTTCGCTGCATATAGACGCCCGGCCTGTATTGATGCAAGCTTTGTGCCTCTTTCGTGCAATCTATTTTAGTTTAGGACGATCGTCCGATTGACAGTGCAGGAATGCTGTTGCATCCAAAAGTACTGCATTTCTCAACCTCTGATAATAGTCAATTTTCTTCTCCAGTCATCTAACTTGTGAGTTGGGTGTATCGATAATGGTGAAAGGTGGTCGTTATTTCGTCGCAAGTTGGGGTCTTACGATTCATAGCCAGGTCCGTATATTACTTTCTGTAGACTTCTATTTGGGTAAGGCATTGGCCCACAACACCTATTTCTTTCGTAGTTATTTGCAGCATATGTTGTAGAGGGGCTTTGCAGCGACTTATTAGGAAGAATAGAAAAATGCATTATGTCATTGTTGATCTCATTTATGAAAGAATTTCGTTCACGCTACAGCGAACACCACGATGCGCAAATCCAAGCCATGGTATTTCAGATGTTCTCTCTTCCAAGAGTGCGTCATAGCGCCCCGGTTCTCCTGAACTGTACAATGAAAAGGTAAACTACCAGGTTTTGGTGAATTCTATCACCTGGAGCTCTAATCTTTGCCCTCAGGTGATTCTGGCACTGGTCCTGGCGCTGGTCTGCGGCGTGGGGTCAGTGAGCTCAGCCGCAGTCCGAGGTCACCCTCGTCGGGTGCGACAGGTCTCCTCTGGTGGTGGTGACGCCGTCCCGTCTGAAGGTTCCGGCACCACACTGCTGATACGTCCGACTCTGCTCCAGCTGCCCCCATCGCCGGCTGATCAGCCCGGGTCAGAGACCAGCCAGGAGACCGAGTCAGAGGTCAACGAGGGGCCCGGGTCAGCTGCCACCCAGGGACCCGGCAGTCAACAGAGCCAGGGTAGTCCCGGTGACGCCGTCAGCGGTTTTAACGGAGTGACGATCCTTATCCGGCCGACTTTAATCCAGCTGTGACCCTGGCGAGATTGTACGGCGAACACTTGGTGGGAACCAGCAGCCGATGAAGGCCAAGTGTCGGCTCTCTTGGGGCTCAGAAGTCAATGAACTTTGTCTGCATTCCTTCGCTATGTTGCATTAATATAGCGCTTCATGCATATTTGATCCAGTTTTATACAAATTGGGTTATGAATACGATCATATTCTGTAGTTCTGGTCGGTCTCATAAATATGCAACGTCTTCTACAAGATTCTGAATGATAATGTATTTAAACTGCCTGACTCCTTGCAGTTTGGTTGAAGCGTAAGCGTGTCATTTGATATCAAGATCTGATTTATTTTCTGCTGGAATGAAGGCACACACTTCTCATGATTATGTCAAGCAGGCTCTCTGAATCCTAATTCCCGAACAGATTAAACAACTGCAGATCGATTTCGTTTTTAAACTGATTCCTCGTAGGTACAGCCCTCTGCAAACTGCGTGGTAGGTATTCTTTCTTCGACAAAACCGAGCATAACGCGGATACTATGCTATCGGTCGCTCGGAAATCATAACAGCAAGATGCGCGAGACTCCGCACCTTAGATTGGCATTACCATCGCATTCATTTTCCATCCAGTTTGGCAACAAAACCCAAAAGTTTATATTTGCCCCCAAAACAAACTTTTGCATTTTGTTGCCACACAAGGCATATACTTTGTTTAGTGATATACCCAATCGAAAGAGTAGAGCAAGGCGCCTCTATTTTCAGTGAGTTCCGACCGACTGGCAACATAGTCTTTGAGTTATTACTGGTTTTGTCGAAAAAAGAATACCTACCACGCAGTCTGCTGAGGACTGTACGCCTAGTACGGTGAGGTTATTTTATTGGAAGCGTGCTTTCCTATATAGCAATGCATGCAAGTTGTGCAAACTTCCGATTGACTGTTCGGGGTTACTTACTACGTATGTGCTGCGCAGGGCCTCAAGATTTGATATTCATTCGGTGTTGTGTGCCACGGCAGTCGGCGCCGTCACTCCATTCAGAGTCAGTGTCATGTTCGGAATATGCGCCGTCGTCACTCGCTCTGATGACTCCAGTGTGCCCGTCATCGCTCACCCATGAATAGTTAATACCCGAGTGGAGGGGTCGATGCCCGCGTGGCGTGATGTCTTTGTATATTGAACACGGACAGTGATGCGTCAAATGATGGTGTCTGACTGCGCATGGAAGGCCTCCCTTTGACGATAGCGTAGCGTGTTTTTTTTTACAATAGGAAAGTATGTCCCTCCTGATTCTTTTTTGTGTCCGCTGTTTGTGATCCTGTCCTACGTCGATTCGCTTCTACGTATGCCTGCTTACCCTAAGCTTTGCTATAAAGCTGTTTCATGATGGGCATTACCTTGGTACGTTGGTATGTGAACGAATGTTCTTGAATATATAAATACTAAATAGTAGCAACAGCCACTGTCTGAATAAGCTCAAATTCCTGCAATCTAGCACATCCACTGAGCACATTCCACACCCAGCCTCTCCCTGTCGGCGGCTCACCTTCTCTGGTGCCCTGAAGAGCTCGAGCAGCGATCCGACCAGGCGGACCACGTCCACCTGACCGGCCAGGTAGCGGCGCACCAGCTCGTCGAACACGCCGAACTCGTGCGCGCCCAGCAGCACCGACGCCTTCTCGTACACCATCACCAGTGACGGGTCGCCCCATTCGTCACCGTCGTCGGCAGCGGCGGAGGGGGCGGGGGCGGCCTGCCGGCCGACGGGGGCCGCGGCGGCACCGGCCGGCTGCCACTGGCCGTGTCCTGCGCCTCTGTCGGTGGCTCTGGTGGGGGAGCGAGAGAGAGAGAGAGAGAGAGAGAGAGAGAGAGAGAGAGAGAGAGAGAGAGAGAGAGAGAGAGAGAGAGAGAGAGAGAGAGAGAGAGAGAGAGAGAGAGAGAGAGAGAGGAGGGGGAGAGATAGATGTCAAATACCGTCAGCTGGGATAGCCAACGTGTCAGATTAACTCGGCTCTGAGTGGCATTATTGAAGGGGAAGTGTGATTATGTTTGGCTCGGGTAGCAGTGATGTTCACGAGAGACAATACGGTATTCATGTGATGGCCTACGAGCTCTCAAAGGAGTGCTCGCTATTTTCCGGAGTTCCGACCGCTATGGGGAAGGGTTGTTGATGCATTGAAGTTAAGGACATACAAATTGGATGATGTCGGTTCATGTAATGACAAGGAAGACAATGAACGCGCTAATTAATGTTTGTCGAGTTCTACACATTTCCTCTACTTTCCCTTTTTTGTCCCTGGAAAAAGAGGGTCGACTGGGCATCACCCCCACCCTCCACGTCTGGTTGGGGATGGGGGGGGGGGGGCTAATCAGCTCCTCCCGGGTACGTCGAACCATGCATTGTGCCCATCTAGCCGAAAATATCCAGCTCGGAACCGGCTCTGCGGCGCCACACACGCCGTCGGCTGGGAGACAAGCCACTCGGGGGGGGGGGGAGTGTCGCGGGGGGCACAGAAGACGTGATGAACACCGACGGTGGCCCACCGCGGAAACCGCAGCGGGATCAAACAAACGACGACGCCGCCCGTGTGCTCCCCACTCGGCTGATGAGCCCCCCCGGCACCGGTGAACGCGGATAAACACGGAGAAACGCGCCCAGGGTGTGAGGTGACGGCAGACGACACAGAGCAGGGGCAGCTGGGCAAACACATCACAGACTAATGTGTCTGGCCATAGACCTCTGTATACCGAGGTCAGAGGTCTACCGGTATACAGAGGTCTATGGTCTGGTCATTGTGACATTGCCGAGAGAGGCGCATTGGCTACTGTGCCCAGTCAGAGGTGTGATGACGCGACTCGACCCACCTGCCGTCGGTAATGGCGGTCTGAAACCGTCCTCCGCCGGTGTCGCTCGTGGCGTAAGAGGCGCACGGAACCTGTCGACGAGAAGGGTTTTGTGGAGATGATCAAGTGGGCTCTCAGAGCGATAGGTTCTCCTCGGGAACGAATACGATAGGTCCTCAGACCAAATGACCTCCTTCAGAGGATTTGATTTGATTGATGTTTCTAATTCAATCCAGTGTATGCAGGAGAACAAAGCCATTTAAATATGAGAGACCCGATGCGCTCATATATTTGATGTTTGCAGATTACTAGGCGCATATCTTCAGTGTTTTTATGCATTTTATTTGTTTTATTTAGCGCATCAGCTCCGATTATCCGGGGCCGTCGCATTGATCCCGTCTTTGTTTACAATAAATTGAACTACGCAAAAATATTCCAGGAAAGCTTGAATAGCTGAATAGATGGTGTTGAAATTTTGCCTTATACAAAGTAGCTACACATCGGTCACAATTGAAATGACGCTATAATAAATTGTTTCCGTCGAGCCGTTCATTTAGGCATTTATGTGTTTGTATACCTAATGTTCAAAGCTTATGGGAAGGAGTACGGCGCAACACTCGTTCCCCCGACATATGCTGAATCGTCACCTACCTTTCCGACGGGCCGGATGGTCATCATAGGCGTCTTGCAGTACTTGAGGATGCTCACGGCCTCGTCGTGGGTGATGTCCAGGAAGCTCTGGTTGTTCACGTCCAGTATCTGATCTCCGACCTACCGACCACGACAACAACAGTCTGCTGAGGCGACTCCGTATGCAAATTGGCCCGGATAGGAAAACACCCGGCCGGCCACCGGGAGCACTTTGTCATCGGACAAAGTTGCACAGGAATTATGTCGACAGTAATTGCTCCGTGGTGACTCAGAGTCGTTGTCAAACTAGGTCGCTGGAGGGAGGCTCAGAGCCCAGTATAGGCAGTATATTTTGGTAGGCAATAACGCGGTTATTTTTATGCTCTGGACATGTTATCAAGTATCAACCAGAGAGAAATTGTATATATTTGTGCTAATTAATGCTCTTATGATTGACTGTTGAACTGGGGGTTGTTTGTCTTGCATTTCTCTTTAATCAAGCCCTGTGTTCCAGTTGGGTAAGTCATGTTACCCGCTTAAATATTCAATTATTAAATTTAAATTGTTTAATTTCCTGGTCCGACGAACTGAGAATGATCAACACAGCATTCGTTGTCAACAACTTCAGGCTTAATAAAGACGAAACATATACCTATCCCTACAGCAGAGCTCCAGAACAATTTTTGATCCCAGATAGCCTTTTAGCGTCACTCCGAAGATATTGTGTTTATTCACGCTATCTGCATATTAAATCATAAGTGTCAGTGGAACGCTGTTTCAGTAATGCCCTTTTATCGAATGGTCGCCAGCGGCCTCCATTGGACAGTTTCATGGCGATTTAATGTGACCCGCATAACAAGGGTTCTGCTCACAGACTCGGACAAATCGATCTGTCGTAAAACAGGGCCGATTCAGCCACACTCATAATGTGGTTCATTGGGATTAAGGTCTGGAGCCCATGCTCATAAAGGGCTAAGCACGGGACGTTAGCAGTATTTATGAGAGAGAAACCGCCATCGGAGAAGCGAGGCATGCGCGCATTATTTCCCTATAAATCCCCGTAAGCGCTGTGAATTCACAGGCCGAAATTCCCCGAAAATCGGGACAATAAACGTAAGCACATGCCGATTAAGGAAATCGGACAAAAATAAAAATCATGGAAAACGATGTATCCGTGAACATTTTGCTGGCGCCACCGTGCGCCCCATAGGAGCCGAAGTTGTGAGTCGTGGAGTCGCTTGAACGTTTCAGTGGATCCACCGAGTCGTGAAATATGTCCGGTTACAACAATTTCTTCACGAAAACGCCTGAAGAGCAAAACAGACTGAACAACAAACTCACTGGGTGGAGTGGTTCTATAACGAGCATGCTTTCTTTGGCTCCGCCAGCTATATAATGATGTGATCCAATTGTGTAATGTGCACGTTATGTAGGCGTTGCATATTGGAGTCAATTGGAATCTCAAAATAGGGTATAGTTTACGGTATAAAAGTGTATGTCAGGTGTGAATTTAAAAAAGTCTGTCATCATTTATGTCAAACAAATGATGCGGGCTCCTCTTTTTCCCACGGATAAACATATCAGTTAATGCCTCGTTCTCTGCTGATGGCGACGCCAGGCAGGCAGGGGCCTGGCTGTGCAGGAGCCTTCCCATTCGATCAATACTGGCCTGAGTTATGGCCAGGTCCGATGTCACTTTGTCGATATGTGCCGGAAGGCCGTATTTAGGCGACATGCAAACCGTGAGATCGGGCGCGGTTCGCTGACTGGGTGGCATGTGTATCTTTAGAAGCATGCGTTAAGGTTTTTGCCTTCACTATAGCACTTGCTTTTAGTCTTAGTCCTTCCATTGCAATGTAGTTATTAGTTAATGAGCATGTCATTGATCTTCAAGCATTACGATCAATTCATAAAATCCTTCATTGAAGTTTGTTGCACAAACTAAACACACTTCAGTAGCTGAAAACTTTCGTTTACGTCACTAATTATTAAAAAAAAAACACACACACACACACGAGTTCGTGTGCGGTGCACGCGCCCCGCGCAGCTGACCTGAATGCCGGCCTGGTCGGCGGGTGAGTTGGCGTCCACACCGGTGACAAAGATGCCCAGGCCGTACTCGGCCCCTCCGCGGATCGTCAGACCCAGACTCTCGCCCATCTCCAGAGAAAAGTCCACCTGGAATAGAGAGCACGTGGCATCAGTCACACAGTTCTCAATCTCCAGAGAAAAGTCCACCTGAAATAGAGAGAACGTGGTATCAGTCACACAGTCCCCAATCTCCAGAGAAAAGTCCACCTGAAATAGAGAGCAGGTGCAGTCAGTCACACAGTCCCCAATCTCCAGAGATAAGTCCACCTGAATCAGAGAGCAAGTGGCATCAGTCACACTATCGCTAGAGAAAAGTCCACCTGAAATAGAGAGAGCGACTGACATCAGCCAAATGGACCCTCATCTCTAGAGAAAAGTCCACCTGAAGTAGGGAGCGGGTGGCATCGCTCACACCATCTCCAGAGAAAATCCAACTGAAAAGTGAAATAGAGAGGCCCACTGATATCAGTGACATACCTACCCTTCTTAAGACCAGAAATTACATGAAATAAAGTGTGTGTTATCAAACATTTCGCCCCCGGTCCCACCCCTGGGCAAGTGAGAAGCATAAGTGCAATCTCAAAATCTGGTATCGATCGTAATATCATCGAAAAACTGGGAAAGCATCATACTGTGCAGGCGATATAAGACAATGTTACAAATGTGATAATGCTCATTAAACTACGAGTCGACCACAATGAGCTCATATGGTTTCGGGCAAAGGTTCGGCAATTACGAGTGCAGCAGTCAGCACTTCGTATTTCCACGCCTGAAACCATTCGTGACGATCAAGAGGTTAACATGCAATCACTGGGTGCTCTGGCTAAGAGCAAGCGGTTTCTTTTTATCAGAAGCCTGGCCATTAACTACCGGGCTACGTGTAGCGAACGGACCTCATGCATCACCCGTGAAAGTTCACCCTTCCAAGCCCACTTAAGCCTGGCGCCGGCTTATTACATGAGACCATCAGAGGCGGCCGTCCGGTCTCGCCGGACTAATGGACCCACACGGGGCGAGAGGCGGCGCTCGCGGCACATACCTACCGTCTGCACGTGCCCTATTTTGGAGCTGTGTCAACACAGGAAAACTGGCACAGAGCCCGCCTTATCCTGCCTAAACCACCGGCTCAAGACGGGCTCAACTGAGTCGCATCGGCTTAGTCTTTCCGTCGGTGAAAATAGGAACTTCTGTCACGGCGCTCCAGTGCTGTGTCATATTGAAATATTAGCAGGGATCCCGGTCTTTGTTGATGACGTACAGTTCAACGGAACTTCTTAATGAATATTATATCCGACATTGCAACACTGGCTTTGAGCTTTGAGAAATCGCATTTACATAATTTAGTTGAATGTGTAGAAAATAACGATGCGAATGAAGAACACATGTTTTACCGATATTCTTCATCTATCGAAAACGCGTACAGGCGCGATTGGAAAGGGTTCAGCTCTGACATAGCAACGGCACAAAAAGTTCAGCATCATCGTCACAGTGCTGACCCCCATGGATTTCGCTACTATTGTTAGCCCGTGCTACGTGCTTGCATGTATCACAGCCCGCGGCTATTATTAGCCGCTCCGGCCCCGCCCGTGCCAGTATCTATGCTCAAACTGTGTCCTGCGGGAGCCATCAGTAGTGACCGGTGCATTGTTGGGCTCCGGCGGGGTACGTCGGCGTCCCGTCAGCGCGCTAAGAGCCGCCGTCGCCAGCCGGAGGCGCCCCGACCTGATTAGACCGTACGGGATGCGGCGTCACAATGGACAGCCAGCGTCGCTTCCGAACCATTCCGCCGCGCCCGGCAGCCGGCCGCTGGGTGAATGCGCCGCCCGGCAGCCAGCCGCCGGGTGAATGCGCCGCCCCGCATTGAAAACTACCGTCTAGTGAAGATGGAGCGACGGAGAAAAGAGGAGAGATGCCGGCATGCCGGTCGATACAGGCTAAAAGCGAAGTGCAGAAAGCAAAAACTCGAGATCCGAGGGTAGTCTGGAATATGAAGCCTGCTTCAAGGTAAAAGCTATCCATTGTGGGTGAAGCTGCAAACGTCACAAACACCTAACCAGCAACTAATGAAGCAGCAGAGTTCGAGCGCGCCTCACCTTTCTGTCATGGCCTCCCTCGCGTGAGGTGTGCAGTAGGTCGGGCGGTGGCGTGACCTCGCGACCCTGCGCGTCACACCAGGTGTATGTGTGGCTCACGACGTAGTTGTCGCCGTTCCCCATCGTCTTGATCAGAATGTCCACCACTGAAGAGCTGGAGAGAATCTGGGGACAAATAGGTGACGAAGAGAAAGTCAAGATAAAGGAAGCATGAGACTTATGTTGATATAAACTTGTCTAGAGCGAAAATTAAACAATGTCCACATCTAGATTGATGCGTTTGTTACCTTACCAGCAGATATCAAAATCGTTGTGTAGGTATTCTTACACTCAGGCATAAGTCAACACCTGCACATACAATGCACACAATGTACGTACGTTCATTACTATGTAAGTAAGTTGTGCAATGGACACTCATGCCGGGCGGCGGGCGTGTTTGTGGAATATAAGCAAATTATCAATTCAATGCATGTATATTTTATAGTGTATGTCCAGTGTCCACACACTTCATACAGCCCTTACTCGGCCGTCGCATGTCCATGAACAATCTGTGCAAAGTGTGCTCTTTAAATATGTTCAGGACGTGCCAGGTATCGATTTCGGCAGCCCGTCCCTGTCGGCAGCGGTCTGGGTTTGCGCGGCCTCCACTTTCCCACTGGAACGTCCAACTCCTCGCTGCCGTACTGCAGGATCCCAGAACACCAGCGCTCTAATTATATCAGTGCTCCAATGCCTGTATCAGCTCATACCAACATGAACAGACATACCCATACACAGAACTACCCCGCATCGCTGTACAGTACATAATCGCCTGGCGGAAAGAGATGCTCAATACCTCACTGCCAGAACCACTTCAATTCTGGTCTTTGGATTGGACTCCAGCACCTAGCATAGTGATCCAAATACCCCGTTGTAAGCTTCAGTGACCCAGGGACCACCACCCGATACCCATTCTATGGATTACACCGTGCAAGTAACCAGCATACGGTATAGGTACCTACTCTATGCATGCACATTACCGTCCCAATGGGCCCAGTGACCCAGACCCCAGTAACCCAGACCCCGGTACCCAGGGCCCGGGACCGACTCTGAATATCACCGCCGCACCTCTCCTTCGTCGTCCAATCCCCAGCGACGGACCGTGTCTATATGCCCTGCCCCAGTCAATGGCAAAGCAAATACCCGTGTTATTCCATCAGAGAGCGGGACACGACAGCGATCGACAGGAGTGCACTGAACCCGCGGCAGACTTCGGCTCTCTTTGTGACCATTTCAGGAGTAGCGACCGAGAAAACTAATAAACTGCCATCGCTTTCGGACGGCGAATAGTCGGCATCGGTCAACTGAAGAGTCCATTAAATAAAACCACGGTGTAATTATTTGATTGATATATTATCCAAAAAGCCATTCGTGAGATTGGTGGCCCTGGCTGGGCGCTGTGGCCATCTTCGCTGGAAATCGGCCTTTGAGGCGGACGACCACAATCTATAGCGTTACTTTCGGTCGTTGGGGCTCATGGCTGGTCGTTAAAGAACAGCAGGATCATCCAGCCGTGGCATCCGGTCACAACAGTTCCTCACATTGCTGGCGAAAAAAAGAAAGAAAATAAGATATCACAAAGCCTCATTTTTCCTAAGCCTGCTCGTTTTCCTTTGGCATGCTTCTTTTACTTTTTTAATGTGTATCTTTTATGCTACGGGCGAACAAAAGGTGGATCCACAACTTAAATCCAAGTAAATCATTCGCGTAAGTGCATGACTATCCGCTACCGTTCAGTTTCGCTCTCATGCATCTACCCCATTTGGCTGGTGTGTGCATGTGATGGCCTTACGGCATGCTCCCTCAGCTGAGCTTTCCATACACCCGGGGCTGAAAAATACCTGTCGGCCCGATCGACCGTCCGCGCTGGGGCCGGCCCGCTGGGCCACGGCTCGCGGACCGCGACACGCCCATTCGTGATCGACTCTAATGGCGGTCCGTGATTCCCGACCGCTTCAACAACGACCGCCAGGCAGCCACATCGACTAATCGACGTCGACATGGTCCGGTCAGGGTTCTGCCCTCCCCTCCCCCGTCACCGGTCTGTCCAACCCCGCCCCGTGCCTCGCGACCCACTCCGTGAACCTGCCCGACCACCGCCCCACGACCTACCCCGTGGCGGTCACCAGTGAACGGATATACTCGGTGTTCCGTCCTAAATAATTATCTAAATGGCGTAAAGGGATTATCTCTCGTGGCAGCGTTCTGCACGGCCTACACGGAAAATTAGCCGAGATAATTGGCCATAATAGGGAAGATCCTGGCTAATTCGCGGAACATATCTACTGTTTCTGTGCTCCCTAGACTCGCTGGAAGTCCAGCTGTAAGCCAATAATGAGCCGTTTATATGAATTTATGTGAGGGAAGCTGGGACACCGCGGGACGTGACATTGAAAATATCATTTAGAAATCTATAAGAATCGGTTTTGTGTTTTCCTGGGTCTTTTGGCGACGGAAAATAGTGCCAAATTTTACTACGGCCGGCTTATAAAATATCTACTTATTTGATAGTCAACATCGCAACTGTTAAGCCTTTTACTCTTAAGTTTCTTTCTTCATTCAGCCTATTTCAAGACTAATTAGTTTCAATCTAACTAATCTGAATGACCTTTCAAAGCAATTAACCCAAGATTTAGTCTAATTCCAGCAATAAATGGACACGCTTTCCTGCATAGTACCAGAACTGGCCTGTTTTATAATTTGTATTATTTTATCTGGGAGCTGGGAACCATTTATGTCCTTTTGTGGGGGAGGGCGGTAAGGACCCCCTCTGATGCTCAGTTAACCCTCGCCCAGTTGGTGCAACCCCCCCCCCCTGAGGTTTTTCTTAGCTACACGCCGAACCGTTTCAGATAGCCTGCTCAAATTTTCAGTACCCTTTGGGGCATCCTTTGCGCAACTTTTGATATTTTTTGTCAAGGTCATGTCAGGTCACTGAGTTATGACGTCATAAAGGGAACAACCTCCGGCCAGATTTACGCTAAATTAGAGATTGCTTCACATTGATATAAATGTCGACTGACCTGACACACTGATGGATTGTTTTAGAATCACAACTGGCTGATCTGACATTGGCACAATGTCCGTTGACATTTTGAAGGTTACTAAAGGTCAAGGTAAGGTCAGTGACCTCGGTTGACCTGTAATGACTTCTTGCACTTGTATGCCTTTTCGGGTATTTTGATGCCCTGAATTCGAATTTGCTATCCATTTCAGGCATCGTCGGTTGTTTCTTGTAGTTCATTTTGGGTCAGGGTCAGGTCAGTGACGTCACACGCCTGACGTGACCCAATGCACAAATGACCTTGCAGACTTCCGATGCTCCCAACGCATCATTTTTAGAGTTATGACATCGAAATATACACCAAACGATAGAGAATTGATCAAGGATCACGATAGTGAAGGTTTCAAGTCGATATCTCTTACCGTTTTGCCGCAATCGGCGCGGAAATCTGAAAAAGTTAGATTTTTACGAAAATTTGACCTTTGACCGGTCATAAGTAGGTCAAATGTTGACCTAGGGCCAAAAAATATACCACCAATCGCGAGATCTCGTTGAGAGCAATCCGTTGGCCTTTTCCGCTAAGCTCTACGACGCTCCGTTTTCAAACGCCAGGGGGGGTCGCACCAACCCCCCACAATCGAAGGCGGCAAAACACCGTTTACGGGCGAGGGTTAACATCTCTGCGCCGCCCAGTCGAGTCTCTCCCGCGCCCGGCGTCCCTCGTTAGTGGAGGCTCCCCGCAGAGACACCGGATCCCGTCGCGGCGGGTGCCGGCTCGCGCGCCATAACAATGACGAACATTAGTGGGGCGGGCCGACTACGAAAATGGCGCACCACGCAGCGCACCAGTCTATCAGCGAGATACGACGTCCGCGCGCACACAAAAAGTGCCGAGATGAGTATTGTAATGAATGGCTGGTGGCTGGTGGGCGGTTCAATACACCACGGCCACGGCAATGTCACGTGATACTCAACATGGCTAGCGCTCTCCATAGACCCGGGAACAGGGGGGGGGAAGCGGGGGCGCTTGCCCCCCAACTTGGGAGCCGAGGGGGCGGCGCCCCCTCAACATTGAGGCAGCGAGAAAAGATCTTTCCTCCCTTTTCCGGACTTCTTTCCTTCTTGCTTCTTTTATGCATCTAAACATCAACACACGGCATTTTCCTTGCCATCTGAATGGTTTCTGCTGATACAATGTCGATTTGACAACATCTGCTATTGTCATCTCGCTTTGATTTGGGCCTGACCTTGGCCATAAGTTTGGCAGGCCAGATTTTATACTGTACCAGCTTGAGTCAGCTTTGTGAAATACATAACGTACAACGGTGGTAAAATCGTTGCTATAGGTATAACACAGTTTACCCGCTCCGGGTGAGATGGAGGGGTGTGGGGCAATGAGTGCACTGACGTGGCGCCCTCGGAGGGCCGGTATGGGATTAAAGCTCAGCGACACTAAGGGCTTATGTGGTGCCTTCAGTTATCGGTAGCACCCTCAAAATCACCGGCGTAAGGGCCCTCAGAGCCGCCGGTAAGGGGCCTTTAGAGGCACTGATCATGGTGTGTGGCCGCCATGCACTATGCAGGTACCGGTGTGGGCGCTGAGGTGCTAGTGTGATTCTCTCAGAGGCGCCGGTGAGGGTCCTTACAGGCGTTGCTGTGGGCCCTCATAGACGCTGGTGTGGAGCCGTTACAGACGGGTGTGGGGTCTTTTGAGCTGCTGACGCGAACCCTCTACAAGGCGGCAGGGGGTTCTCAGTGATCGGCAAGGGGCCCTTAGGCCGGCAGAAGAAGTCCTGTGGGTCCTTGGAGACCGGCATGGTACTGTCAGACGCCGGTGGGGCCCTCAGGGCTCAGAGTCACCGGTGTGGGGCCCTCAAGTCACCAGTGGGTGGCCTTTAGATGCGCAGGTGTTGGTTGGGTCCTCAGAGCCGCCGATATAGGGCTTTAATAGGCACTGGTGTAGGCACTCGGAGTTGGGGGTGTGAGACGCTCAGAGGCACCGGTGTGGGCCCTCATAGGCGCCGATGAGGGCCCCCACAGTTGCCGTTATGGGGCCCGCAGAAAAATAAGTGTGTGACCATCACAGGCGGGAAATGCCCCTAGAACTGGCCCCTCATAGGCCGGTAAGAACTCTCAGAGGCCAGTAACGGGCCTTTGGAGACCACCGAGGGGCCCTTTAAGTCTGCAAAAGGCCCTCAGAAGCCGGCGTGGGGCCCTTATGGAGATCTTAGTGTGGCTATTTAGGGCCCATGAGGTGCTCTAACGAGCCCCATGGGGCCCTTCTGAGTAGAAATATGGCCATCGTTAACTCTCAGCGGTCAAATGGCGCCGCAGGGCCCCTCGGACCCAAGGGTCCCTTTGAACCCGATGGGGGGGGGGGGGTACGTGTCCCCTTAGACTCCTAGCTACGCCACTGTTTCATATGCATCATGTCAGGCATTTTAGGCTCGCCCCCCCCAACTTGAAAATCGTTCCCGGGCCCCTGGCGCTCTCTCAACTAAACAGGTCAGCGCAGTTTTTTTTACGGAAGAACATGCTTCTTGACTTAGGATGGTAATTTATGTTCCAGCAGTTCCATCTCCATTGATGATTTTTCTTTCTTTCTTCACTACATAGCCTGCAGCTGAGCACTGCTCGCCTAGAAGGATACTGGATAGCGATTCTTGCACAAAATTAACGTGGTAAAGTAGTTATACCTAATGTTTTACCTAATACCTACCTAGTCTCAGAATTGGGCGGAGCTATAACACGGTTTCAGTCGATTGTAGCGCGTTTTGGAAAAGAAATGCGTCAACTAATTATAAGTTGAACTTGAATGCCAGTTGGAAGTTGGAACTTTTCCTTTGGAGGAACAACTGAGTTTTCCTTGAGCCTCCGGCCGCACGAGTAGCTCAGTGTTTGGCCTGTTTGGCCATCTAGTGGCGGAGTCCAGACAAACGTGTAGTTAGTCCCTGCCGCTAGATGGCAGCAGACGTAGGCGCCTGGATGCATACTGTACCGCAATGCTCAAGCCGACAACCAACGCACCGCGCGCGACGGCCACGAAATGAAGAATCCCTACATAAGTTAATCGTCTTATTTGATGAGGATATCAAACTAACGTCTGAATTTAGCACACCAAATAGTTTCGGTGCGTTCCAGCAGAGCTACACAAGAGCTCCCGAAGCCTTACAAAGAATCCATTTCCAGGACTGAGGCTAGTGGAACAGACCATCCTGCTGTTCGACCTCGACATTCTTGGAACAGTTGGGGTTAACTGCCGCACAAGTTTGTTTTATTTCAGCCTTAGCATAAATGCAGATTGGATGCAAACGATTCTGATTGAATTTGCTCGTAGCAATAACAGATCTGGATTCGGCCTGACAGCCGGTGTCGGATAACATTGGGGAGGCATTTAGTGGATTGGCGAGGCCAAATGACATCAGAGCCGATCCGCTTCGTGGGATCGTTCGCCGGAATGGTTTTCGACGAATCACTTCGACGGTCGGCGGCAGCCAACCATCTCCCCTCTGGTTTACAACGATAAGAATATATCAAACTTTCAAAGGATCGATAAAACCCTTCTTTCCCGTCGCGATTGATAACAAGAAATGCAGGAACGTCGGGCGCGTTTCCCTACCTGTTGCACTTGTTGCAGCGGAAATCGACGGACATCGTATCCGTTGACGATGATCAGCTCATCGCCGACCCGGAGGCCGGCCGACCGGGCGAGACCCTCTGGTTCCGTGCGACTGACGAACACACCGAGTCCTGGGGAGAGCGGACCGGTAACGTGAACGGCAGGCCGGACAGCAGATCTGCGAGATAAATGGATCACATGAGCACCGTGGTTATCTTAGATCTTGTTTTCAGAATAGCCCATTCTATGTAGATGGTTATCAGTTTATGTCAGAGTTGCTTCGGTGATTGAAAAGTGATTGGTGTCTGCGAGATTCCAGAAGTGCTTTGTCGTCAACCAACACGACAGCAGTTTGAACAATTGGACACTGAAATATTTTGAAAGTTTAGCTAAGGCCGCAATCCTGCGGACTTTATTTAGGAAATGAGTACCTTATCGTTTTACAATATTTTGAAATTCTTGGGAACGCCGTGCACCTACGAGTACAGTTAGCTTTGTTGTTTATCTCATAAAGCTTTCCACGTTGATAACTTGAAAACCAGGACAGTGATTTGGCATCGTTAATCACATATAAACAACCAAAGTAATATAAAAAATTGAATCACAGTGAGTGCCCGAAGTAGACTGCGACTTCGAATCACAGAACAAATTTGCACTCGCAGTTGCACTCGTTTTCACTGGCCCACCAGTACACCATGGGTCGTCCGACCCGGTGCACCACATAAAGCAAACTAATCAGCGCGGCTCGGGAGGCAGAACTTTGCCGACCTGCCATCGGCTCGGGTCGGTCGCGACGAACCGCTCACGTCCGTCCCAATCAACACGTCGCGGCCGTCGGAACGGTCTCCCTCCGTCGGACGAACGAGCGGCGTGGCTCGTCGAGCGGCGCGCAATCAGAGGCCGGCCGCGTCGCCGGCGGTGCCGGGACCCCGGCGGTCACAGAGCGGTCGTAAGCGGCCGACGGTCGGCCACCCGCCCGGGCCTTTCGTGTAACAAGCATTGATCGCTGGCTCAAAGAAGCTGCCAGACCGGGCTCGGCAGCTGACCGACCAAATGGCCCCAACATTGGTGGATCGAATACAAGTTCGGAGATGCTGGAAAGAGTTGAATTAATTTCTGTAGAAAAAGGTGTGATTACTGATTGATGACTTTTGCTATGAATGATTTTGCCATCAAGGCAGGCCTTCCGTAGTGATTGACCAGTGCGAATCACTCTTAAGTACAGATTACAGACCACTACAGAAAATGTGAAGCACTGTAGCGAAACGCATTGGTCTGTTGTGGTTTGTAGGTATATGATGTAACTTGTTGGATCGAAAACCTTTTACCGAAACGGAGAGTCAACTTGCAATATAGAACTTGTGTAAGCACTTAATACTAATATTTCTCTGTCGAAGCCTGGTAGCGTTACGGCCCCAGGCAGAGAATTGTAACGGCCTCAGAGGGAGTATCGTGCCGATGAGTGGGGCCCGGCGGGCGCATTTCTCTGCTCTCTGGCGCCCATCTCTCCCGATATAATTGATAGGGTGCCGAACGTCCGATGGCGCTGTCATATATTACTGCTTACGATGGCCTGTGTGTAGCCATGCTGATCAATGATCATAATGATCGGAGAAAATGGACGGTATCTGTTGTGTACACGCTACGTATGTTGATTTATACAGACCAACATTATGACAGATGTTGATTTATGCAAATATCTTCTCGTGCATGTAGAACATGCTTAGACGGCATCTGGTAAGTATGTGGTATTGACATTGTGCTAGCTATAGTTTGGTGACTGTTTAGAGAGGGCATTGGTCTGACACACAATTGGCCTCTGTATCGTAAACCTCTTCGTCTCTCAACAATTGGCAACACGCGCTGCCGCGCAGCGTATGACGCGCTTTGTGGTAAGGCCGGCTTTACAAGCGATTTAGTTAGAAACTAATCAATGTCTTGATTGCCCTTGAGTAACTTTCACAAAAGTTAGGTCACCCAGTTACTGAAAATGGGACAAACATGATTACTGCCTCAACAATCCGGAATTGCTAGTGATTTGGCGAAGGCTCGCCGTGCTGAAAACTTGCTGTGCTAATGAAGCCTAACGTGTGTTCATTTGTTAGGCAATTTCGCATTAACTTAGCCAGAACATAGAAAGGCATATCGCACTGTTATTTAGGAAGTAGTAGTTCCACAGATATGCAAATAAAACGGGTGCAAAAAAAACGGTTCGGGCTATTGCTCAAAGTACCAAAAGTAATGTATTTGTAATACTCCTGGACATTTTCACTGAATTAATGCGGGAGAACGTAGGCGCGAGCCGCGGTGACTACCTCATATAACGCAATGTCTGCCGGCGGTACGGCAGTGTTTTCCTAGTGTTCTCCAAACATCGCTGTGTAGCGTGACGATGGATAATGGAATTATCTCTCGAGCACCCGCCCCGGTCAATTTTCTGCCTGGCTAAACCCCAACAGAGCCACGGTCAGCCTCCATCTGAGAGAGAATACACAATATGATGCGCCGGTGACGGCCGTTGTTGGCAGGCGGCTGTCGGATGTCGCCGAGGCTCTGGTGAAGATTCGCTCGTATGCATGCTCCCCCACCCGGCAGTTCCGAACTGCACGCTACAACTTGACGGTGGCCGCGACGGTCTGCCGCTCAAACAAAACTCGGCCCGGATCAAACAAGTCACTCGTGTCCAATGGACCGTGCGGCCCCCGGAGGAGTCATTTCATCAGTTGCCGCTCGTCTCGAACTTGTTGCTGCCGGTTTATGCGAGCGCAGTTCAGGAAAACCGGCCGGTCTTCGGTCGCCCCCCCCCCCTCCCCTCGGCGACTGTAGTCCACACTAGTGATGTCAATTACGGAAAATCGGAATACCGATACCAAACCAAATACCAACCAAAACCACGGGAAAATACCGAAACCAAACCAACTCGGGAAAATGAGGGAAATACCAACTTTTTACCGATTTCTTAGCCTCTATGCATAAGTGAGGGTTATGATACCAACAAAATACCAAACACATTACGATTGAAATACTAAATACCAAGTTGGTATCGGTTTGGTATCGGTATACCAAAACGTTGGTATCCGATTGACATCTCTAGTCCATACCCTCACTGTCTGAGACAGCCGACCCCTTTCCTCCGCCGTGTGTGTGTGTGTGGGGGGGGGGGGTCACGTGAGACACGATGACGTCACGGGTGTCGGGCCGGCTCGAGCGTGCCGGGTGTCATCTGTCACGGGTGTCCGGCGTCGGCTGCAGCGCTGTTTGTCGCCAGACAGCGCCGCCACCGTCGTAAAGACGCGCCGAAAGGCAACAAGCCGACAGAAATGACTAGACATATGCAGTCGTTATACTTGAAATGGGCTGCAGCGCTCGGGTGTTTCGAGTATTAAACTGAAAATAAAGCAAAGGGTGGTAACAAAGCGAGTGGTAAATTTGGATCCTTCGACGATGCGTACAACTGGCAAAATACACCGCAAACCACACAGTGGTAAGAGTTAACGACTTTGATAAGTGCATAGAAGGTGACATTCTTGTTTCATATCATATAGCATCAATATCTACATTATCTGATGACATTGGCAAGACACAGGCGTCCACTCCAGGAGCTCTTACCAGTTTCCGTGAACGAAATAACGTTTGTGCGCGCCTAATTCCGATGACCGTTTGACCGGCTTACGGCGGGGTTAGAGTTGATCCGGGCTCAGTTGGGTAAATTCGGACCGGACCATCGACCCGGCCACAATTGAGGCTACGGAGGCTTCCCTCCGCCGAATCCCCGCGGAAAGGGCCGGGAGGAGGCCTCAGCCGATAATCGGCAGACGTGACGGCCGGTTCCAGACAATCTGCCGTGGACAGGGGCCGTCGCCGGGTCTGCCAGGTTGTACGGCGCCGGCCCGTACCGTGCACACCCGGGATTACCCGGCACGCTATACCGCGCTGCCGTGACGGGACATGACGGGGCCGATCGATCCCTCCACGCCGTCCCTCCGCCGTCCCTCCCCGTCCTTCCCCGTCCCTCCGCCGTCCCTCTCTCCTCCCTCCCCGGCCCTCGCCGTCCCTCTCTCGTCCCTCTGCTGCCCCTCTCCTCCCTCCGCCGTCCCTCCCCGTCCCCTGCACCGTCCCTCCCCGTCCCCTGCACCGTCCCTCCCCGTCCATCCCCCGTCCCTCCCCGTCCCCTCCGCCGTCCCTCCCCGTCCCTCTCTCGTCCCTCCCCGTCCCTCCCCTGTCCCTCCGCCGTCCCTCCCCGTCCCTCTCTCCTCCCTCCGCCGTCCCTCTCCGCGTCCCTCTGCTGCGCCTGAGTGGTGCCGCACCGAGCCGTTTATTGTCTGCCCACACCAATCCGGTCCAAATCCCACACGCACTTGGTCGCAGACGAGGCCCGGGGGGCTTTGTAAGAGCCACGCCACTCGGATGTCCGCGAGCTGTCATTGTGAGAGAACAGCTCGTATGTTGTAAGACAAATTTAGACTTGATGAAAAATGATTTCATTAAAGTCTTACATGGTGAAAAAAAATGTGGAGATACCAATGTGATCGGCCTTATCATCTCTAATTAAATTTACGCATATTTACCGTAACTTTTATGGATTGAACTAGGTAAGCATGTACCACGAACCTTACATATGAATGTAGGAACGCAAAATTATTGAACATGAGGTCAGATGCGTGTTACTTATCTGGTTCTCGCCCGACTTTACAAGACATAGGTGTAAAGGTGTAAATGTCGTGTATTCGCCGTGACGCGCTTATTTCTGCGAATATTTCAGTCGTCGTCGACCTTACGAAAAATCTAGCACCACTCCATTTTTATTTCATTTTTTTATTGGTAACCGTCCGACACGCGCGTCTTCCATCAAATCAAATTTATCAATCCGTGGTGGTGGTTGTCTCTATAGAGTGCTAAAACTGGGCACACTTTATCAGCTCCGCATGACACTGTCTTATTCTCACTGTCGGTTCGCCGCGGGCACTCCTAACAGAGTGCTTTATCTGCTGCGACTGTCTCGGTTTCAGTGTCGAGACGTCCCCGCCCCAGTAAATAACGACGCAGCTGTACCGGCTCGCAGCAGGCAGCTGCCGCCGGCCGCCCCCTCCCAAACCCTCTGTCACTCCAGAGAACAATGAGGCCCGGAGAA